TAATTCAATTTTATTTACTACCAGTGGCCCGGTGTATGAAATTCATGCACATTAAAAGGGAATTAATTAGCGGAAATATTTTAATATTGCTATTTGCCCTTTCTCTGTAATAGAAGTGTGAGAGATGAAAGGAAATTAGTAGAATGTATATGAAAATAATATATAAATTTATTAATAAAGAGTAATAAAAGGATATAACAGAGGCATGATATAAAAACAAAAACATGATATGAAAACAACAAAAACACGATAGAAGAAGAACAGTGATGCAAACAATGACTGATAAAGTGATCAAACTTATTCTAATATCTCCCTGTACACCACATTGAGTGAAAACACTTTCAGAGTGCTTGAATAATTTCCCTTGTGCTGAAGTATTTAGAACTTTAACTTGAACGTCACATGCTCTTCAAACTCGAGAGAAAGCAACATATAACTGACCATGTGTGAAAATGGGTTCAGGTAGGAACATGCCTACTCTGTCTAGAGTTTGTCCTTGTGATTAATAGTCATCACAAATGCTGGCATCACGGGAAACTGTCATTGAATTAATTTAAATGGGAGGCCAGTGTCAGATGGGGACAAATCAATTCTTGGAATTAGAACAACCTCTCCCTCTGCAGATCCTGTTAATACTTCAGCTTCAATAATTGTAGGTTGTAATCTTTTGATAATAAATCTACTACCATTACAAAGACCCCATTTACTATTAAGATTTCTCAATAGCATGATGATTGCACCCACTTTCAATTTTAATTTATGACACAGCATTCCCGAAGGAGTAACACTATTAAGAAATTCAGGAGAACCAAGATGGCGGCATAGGTTAACGCCGGAGTTTGCTGCTTTGAACAACTACTTCAAAAGTGAAACCAAAAAACGGAAGGGACATCACCCAGAACCACAGGAGCGCTGGCTGAGTGGAAGTCCTACAACTAGGAGGAAAGAGAAACGCATACGGACACTCAGAGGAGGTGCAGTGCTGAAGTCAATTTCTGAGGTGCGGAGTGCGCGAGCGGGCTGGCGGCGGAGGGCGCGGTTGGCGTTTTCAATCGGGAGGGAGTCGCAGACTCTGAGCTCCAGATACAGGGGAGTCTTCAGGGACCCAGACTCAAACGGGAGAAGTGGGACTGTCTGGCTTCGGTCAGAGCGAGTGCAGCTTTCTCTCCGAGCTTTGCAGCGGGTGCTGGGACTCAGAGAGGCAGAGCCCCTGGGGACAGGACTGAGAGCCGCCATAACTGCTCTCTCCAGCCCACTCTGTTGATCCTGTGCTACCCGCCCTGCCCAAGCCCTGCACAGAGGCTTTTGCCGGATAGCCTCAGGCAAAGGCTAGATTAGCACCTCCCTAGAGGACAGAAGTTCTCTCACTGCTGACACAGCTGATTCTCATAGCCACTTGGCCTGGAGGTCAAACCCTCCCTGGAATTAGCTACAACAATCAAGATTTAACTATAAGACTGCGAACAAAGACCACTAGGGGGTGCACCAAGGAAGCATAACAAAATGCGGAGACAAAGAAACAGGACAAAATTGTCAATGGAAGATATAAAGTTCAGAACCACACTTTTAAGGTCTCTCAAGAACTGTTTAGAAGCCGCCGATAAACTTAATGAGATCTACAAGAAAACTAATAAGACCCTCGATCTTATATTGGGGAACCAACTAGAAATTAAGCATACACGGACTGAAATAACGAATATTATACAGACTCCCGACAGCAGACCAGAGGAGCGCAAGAATCAAGTCAATGATTTGAAATGCGAGGAAGCAAAAAACACCCAACCGGAAAAGCAAAATGAAAAAAGAATCCAAAAATGCGAGAAATTCAATGGCAAAATTTTCCTTTCAGCATCATCTGTTGAATCAATGGAATCATCACTCAAATTCGTGTGAAAATCTCCATCGAGTGTACCCAAAATGTCTTCATTTAATTTTTGAATGTGCTCATTTTTTTGACAAAGAATCGCATTTTTTAGATATATTTTTAATATTATCTATAGATATAGTATTTCCAAAGGTAGCTTCAATAATAGATCCATTACAAATCATTTCACAGGGGATTTCAATAATATCCATTCCTAAATGAAAATTGCTATCAAATTTGTCATCTCCAAATTTTACTAACCATCCGCTATAAGAGGAATCCTCTGATCTCATATTTGTTGTAAGAGACAACTTTATGAAACATCCACAAACATCACAGTACTTTAAACTCGTTTGTACTATGGCTAATCACATAGCATGCGGCACAACAGTGAGACATTATCAAAAATCCCCTCCAAGAAGGAGAACTTTCCCACCAAATACAACATTCAAATTCATAATTTCTCTTAGTAATCTGTCTATGGCGTTTATAGCATGACTGGATGCCATGGTGCATTCATCAATAATGAGAAGTTGGGCCTTTTTAATAGGTTTAGCAACTTCACTGTTTATATCAAGTCTAGAAATTGAAGTTTCATTTAATGGAATTGGTCATTTATATTGGGAATGAAAGGTCCTTCCACCTGGAAGTAAATTTGCAGCAATTCCTGTATACGCTGTGGGTAAAACAGTACCACCACGACCTCTAATATAATGTATTAAAACTTTATACAGATACGCAGGTGAATGGGGTTCTTGGCTGGCAGACAACTGACAGCAAACTATCCAACAGGAGGAACGGGGCTCCCTCCTCCCTCCTGTCAGGGTCTGGTTTGAAGGCTGGCCATGCGCCCTGTTGGGCCAGACCCAGAGTTCTACCACGCCATGGCCTTTGCCTCAGCAACCCAGGACTGACTGCCGCTGGGCATTCCTGGCACTCCGAGGGTACGTTCTTCTCTCAGGCCTCGTGGGAAACAGCTCGGGGAGGGCGCAGTCCTTGGCAAGGTGACCCAGGACTCAGTATGTCCACACTCTGAGGGCCGGTTCTTGCCTCAAACCTTGCCCTCATGAGAAACAGCTCAGGGGAGGGCGCAGCCGTCGCCAAGGCGACCCCTGCAGGACTGACTTCCTTCCAGTTGGTTGAGCCTTGGATGTGACAGGTGAACACCCAGGGTTTTTATATAAATAGACGCTAATAATAGTAGGTACCTAATCATATCATTCCTAATACTGAAACATCCTTGCAATACTAAAAATATCCTACACTCGGACAAAGTATATATTTCTTCTGATGCACTCTGGATTCCATTTCAATATTTTATTTAGCTTTCTTTTTTCCTAAACTTTCTTGAGAGATATTGGTCTACTGTTTACTTTTTGGGGGGAATCCCAACATTTAGTGTGTTTTAGTTTCATTGTTACATTGCCTTGAAAAAAAGAATTTGGAAGATTTTGTTATGAAAAAAAATCAATAAAAATCCAATATAAACAAGTAAAAACAGTTTTTATAATTTAGTTGATTTATTAAACAGGATTTTGTATGTTGATACAATACACTAAATTTCTAAAGGAGAAACAAATACCAAGTCTAAACTCCCAACTTAGAATAAAATTTCTATTTAGGCTTTACTGGATTCTGTCTCTACTCTAAGATTCCTTAGTAAAATTTACCTAACTAAAACGTTTTAAACAGCTATTTCCAGCCTTCATTTTTTCTCATTTAAAAGAGTTTTAATTTTTATAGAGACTCTACCCAATGTGTATACAGCAAAATATAGGTCACTGTCAAGAATGAAAGCAAAAAGCTTATGTTCTATGTTTTAACACCTTTCCCTGGTTCACTAAAGCTTTCTAATTCATTCCCAAATTAGACAAGAAGTTAGCACATTTTAATATAAGTGTATAAGCATTGTAAGTTAAAAACTGATCCCAAAGTTTGAGCCCAGGCTTGTTTTGAAGAGGAAAACTAGAATTTCCTTATACAGAAACATGGAAAGAATGTACCTGATCATGATCAACCTCTACAGGCTGCTTCTTAATGATCCAGGTGACAGACTCGGAGAGTGGTGGGGTAGTCAGGGATCCTGAGTAGGTCCAGTAGTCCGGGCAGGTGGGCATCAGGCAGGAAGGGTCGAATGACCCAAATTCCACTATGGTATCCTGGCCAAGAGAAAGGGTCACCAAACTATCATTTCATGGTGATGACAACCACTCAGGAATCAGATGACAAGGCAACAACTCTAGGAGTGTCTGGGGACCAGCCGTGTCCAGAGGAGCTCCTTAGGTTCTCTGGACAGAATCACACATGCCCATGGCTGCAATTAACTCTGTATTTCTGACACTCCTCAGTGGGAACACAGCAGAACCCATTTTCCCCCTCCATTCTAGTGAGTTTCTAGCAGGTGGTCTCCTCTGAATTCTTGGGGGGCATGAGGTGGTGGCTGGTGCACAAATAAGGAGGCTTTCTTTTTCAAAAGCCTAATAGCATCCTCCTTTCTAAAATGCAATGCAAATTAGGAGCTAGGATCCTAGTCAAAGGGGAGTGAGAAAGAAGAAGGAAGGAAAGAGGGGGAGATGGGGAAGGAAAGAGAAAGAGAGCAACATATGGACTTCCAGGGAGCAGCCCCTTTGGGATTCTGAATATTGAACAACTGATCTTGGGGCTGGACAAAGGTATCCGTCCTGAAGGATATGTGTAATTATTATTTAGAGGTGGACAAGCCAAGTTTCTGTCCAACTTTTCTCTGCTTCCTGCCTGAGGGAGGGTAGCTAGAGTCAAGAAGGCTGCTCTACGTGTGTCCACAAGGACTGAGAGGGAGCAGGTGTCGGGAGCAGAGGAGGGTACCATAGTGGAATTTGGGTCTTTCGACCCAGCCTGCCTGATGCCCACCTGCCCGGACTACTGGACCTACTCAGGATCCCTGACTACCCCACCACTCTCCGAGTCCGTCACCTGGATCATTATGTTCCCAAGTCCTCGAATGCTCAGGCCATGGCAGCAAAACCAGTGGCTAGCGCCCACTAACAGAATCCACGGAGGTGAAGTACATCTCCCAATACAAAGGGCCTTGTTAGTGTCTCTAGTCTGAGATTGAAACATAAAATATATTTCAAGTGATTTACAAAAAAAATATTACCTTATGCTTAATTGATGGCAATATATCCACCAATTTTTGTAGCTCCTTAAGATGCTTGTGTAGCTAAAGAACAATAAATAAGAAAACATTAAAACAATTGACATCTCACTTTGTTATGCAATTGTAATAGAATGTGATTTAAAATCAGACCCATGGTGATTACCTAAAAACAATCCCCAGTAGTGAAACTACACTTAAACTGACAATTTAGAATGTTATAAACGTCACTGAATGAAAGCAGATACAAAACAAATGAATAGGTTGTTTGCTGTCAGGCTGGAGCCCACAGTCTACAGGGAAAGGTGTCACCTTCTCCATTTGCTCCCCACTCTGAGCCTCACTGGCATTTGGCCTGCAGAAGCTCCGGAGGCTGAAGCTGTCCAGAAACCTCATTGTAGTAACCATGTTTTCCAGTTTCTGTATCTGATGCTTTGATATCTGACATCTTGCTGAAGTAGAAGGGTGGCCCCTCCCAGGGTTAGCTAATTCCTAGAGAGAACAAACAACTGGGAGTATGCCTTTCATCTGCAAACCAACCAATCCGGAGTCCAGACCCCAGCCACCTCCTTTATAGGGTTCTTAATCTCTGGGTCACTATTCCTCTGCCCTAATCACCCCAGGGCCTGGGACCAGTGAACTATGGACAGCTTCTCTGCCCCAGAACCCACTGAAATTATTCAAAGCACCCAATCCTAAACCTGCTTATGCTGCCTCCCCGATTCTTTCCCATGGACTCCACAATAAAGACTTTTTCCATGTCTTCTTTTTCTCTCACTGCTTCCTGACCATGCCTGGTGCTTTCCCACGTGGCCCTGGCTGGTATGCCAAGGCCTCCTATTTTTAGAGATCTGTGAGTATAACAAAATTCTTCCTTCATGACAGTCATTTCCGTGTCTGTGTGTCTTCCCATACCTGATGAAACCAAATCCTGGGTTTCCTTTAAACATTCAATCTCCAGAGTGGACCCAAGCAGGGAGCTTGCAGGAGGCCTGCACCTGCAGAACCTGCAGGAGCTCAGAGGCCCTGTGCAGAGTGTAGTCCCCAGATTTTCAATCTAGTTCTCCAGTTGCTAGTTGTGTGACCTGGCAGGAAAGCACTTATCCTCCTTGAGCTTCACTTTCTTCACCTGAAAAACAGAGATGACACTATTGCTATCAGAAACCTCTTAGGAACATAAACAAAGTGTATAGGCACACAGCACTCATAAATATTACTCCCTTTTATGTTCATTTTCCCTAGTTGTTTGCCTTTATCTTTTTATTCCATTTAAAACTATTCTTAACTAAGCTCACATTTTAACCATTATTTATTTAGGGTTATTTGCTTTTATCCTTTTACATTAATGCTTACAAATAGAAATATAATGCCAACCACAGAGGTAATTTTAAAGTTTCTAGGAGTCACATTTAAAAAGATTTTTTAAAAGAGAAATTAATTTTTATAACATATTTCACCAAATATATTGAAAATATGGCCATTCATTTCAACATGTAATCAATATGAAAAATTCCTGAGGCAGTTTACACTTTTTTCCATACTTCTTTAAAATCTGTTATCTTACATGTATAGTATACATTAATTTGGAAGCTAAATTTTCATTAGAAATACTTGGCTTGTATTTAGATTTCTATGTGGCGTATATTATATATATATGGCTCTTACATAAATATATATTTATGGCATATATATATATATATATATATATATATAAATTCTTACCCAAGGATATATATGCTTTTATTGATTTGGGGGTGGGGGGAGGGAGGGAGGGAGGGAAGGAGGGAAAGGGAGAGGGGGAGAGAGAGAGAACACGCCAGAGAGGGAGAGCGAGAGAGAAACATCGATGTGAGAGAGAAACATTGACTGGCTGCCTCCTGTAAGCACCCAACTGGGGATCAAACCCACAACCTGGGTATGTGCCGTAACCAGGAATACAACTGGAGACCCGGATGCACTGGATGATGCTACAGCCGAGCCACACAGGCCAGGGCTTACATTACATCTATTGGAAAGCATTACTCTACATGTTTGTTAGCTTTTTCTCCTGTGCCTTGCCCCTGTACTGTACTTTAACTTGAGATGTGCTATTTCCTCATTTAATTAAAGACCTAGTAGGCCTAGAGCTTAGTGCAGGACTGGACACACAAGGACCCTCCAGGTGACTTTGTGAGGATGATCATAGTAAATTATTTTATTAGAGCACCAGGGCTGTAAAAGGCACTTTGATGCTGAACCCAATTAACCTAGCACAGTGGTCGGCAAACTGCGGCTCGCGAGCCACACGCGGCTCTTTGGCCCCTTGAGTGTGGCTCTTCCACAAAATACCACGTGTGGGCACGCACGTACAGTGCGATTGAAACTTCGTGGCCCATGCGCAGAAGTCGGTCTTTTGTGGAAGAGCCACACTCAAGCGGCCAAAGAGCCGCATGTGGCTCGCGAGCCGCAGTTTGCCAACCACTGAATTAGCACATTATCAGCAGAGGAGACTAGAGCCCACACTTCTTGGTGCTCAGTTCATTCAGCCCTATTTGTTAGTTCCCCATAGCTACAGATACCTCTGGGGCTGTTAATATAATCCCAAGGGGCTCTTAACCTGCCCATTGTTTCTCAAGACTACTTGAAAGTTAATGAAAGACAACACAGGCTGGGTGTCCTGACCTAAATTATCTGGGGATTGACAGAATTATTTGTGAAGAAAACATTGTAAAATAAATACAGTACAGTTAAGCCCTCAACATAGTTCTTGGAAACTGCAATTTTAAGCAAAATGACTTATAAGGCAACCAATTTTACTATAGGTTCACTGATATACAGAAATATGCCATAGAAACTTAACTCTTATTCATTATATCCATGAGCCTATGATAATACTGGTTAGTCACAGTTTCCAAGCACCCATCCACGCCTGTAGGTGAGCACTTACTATACTCTTGTTCTCCAAGCATTATTTGTGTTCTTCACAATTAAATGGAGAAATATAGAACAACTTTCTAATAGAGTTCAGTTATAATATCGGCCAGTCCTGTCAGACAGAATGGTTCTTTCCTCTAACAATGGACATTTCCAATATGGTAAGTGCTAGCCACACAATTTTAATAAATTTATATTTACATGTAAATACAGACAGTCCTCGGGTTATATCGGACTTGACGTACGTCGTTTCGTGGTTATGTCACCATCTCCCATTTATTTATATATAAAAAAAGTTCCGTCATTTTGACGTATGCACATATGTGCTTTATGTTTTTTATTATTTATTTACCACAAGTAAAGGTCAGGAGTTATCTTTCTTTTACATTTTTTTACTGTTTCACTTCATTACTGCTGTGTATGTGCTCCATGTGAGTGACACAGGAGCTTATGTAGGTGGGTTCTGACTTATGGCGAAAATCGCATTGTCACGCTGTAGGAACGGATCTCCGATGTAACCCAAGGACCTACTGTACATACATGAAGCTAGTGGCTACATTTATACAGTGCCATTCTATTCCAAGTTGTTCTACAAAGAAATGTTTCTCTTCTAAAAGTAAGGAGATCATGACGTTAAGAATCATTGGACTAGTAACAAAACTGTACTATTTCCACTCTAGATGATAGTCTTTGTATTTCATTAAATTAAGAATTAACATAATTAAATGTATTTTTTATGGTCTAAGATCTCATGCCTAAATTACTTGAATGTGACAATTAGTCTAAATTTCACGGGAAAATACACTAAGTGAAACTGATTTTATTTTCATCGTGGGTAACAGGTGCAAGGATTTTATCTTTATTTTATCATGTTACCAGTCCCCACAGTTAAGACTGTCAACATTTACTGTCTGCTACTTGAGATGACAACAAACAGCAATTTGAGTTTACAGCCAGTGATTAGCTAGCGGGGGGGGGGGGGCAGTGAAGGTAAAGCAGGGAACACAGGGCTCTAGTGAAATGCTGCCTTCTGAAATTGCCGTATCTTCCTCCTTCATTGACAGCTTAATTTGCTTCACCCCATCCTAAAAATGGTCAAAGTGAAACACTTGAGGGAGACACTGAGCCTATGATGATGAGAAAGATGGTGATGAGGATTATAATCCCAGGATCAGAATAGCCACCAACAGGGAGTCCTCTCTGTGGCAGGCACAGCTAAGGACTTGCCAGTTATCTCTGCTAACCTCCAACATTCTTGGGTCACTCCCTCTTGGTCACAAGTGAACTGGGCCTTCTGCTGGGGTACTGAGCTGCCAGAAACAATGAGGATTATCTTTATACCAGGATATAAGCACAAGACATGCTCACTGGCCCAGGGCAGCAGAGACCATCCTGGGTGAAAACAGGGAGGGATGGTGTCATATGACAAAAGCAAAATCAAATGCTGACTGTCACCTGTTTTTCTTAGCAACTTACATACAAGAATATCTAATGTGGGAATTAATCAAGGGAAGTCCCATTTCCCCAAGCCACCACTACTTTTTGTTGTTGTTTTTTTGGTCAGCAAAAAAGAAATAAAACTATCTTAAAGATATGAGCATATTGGATTTTAGACTTATACCTTTCAACTTTCTGTTAAGAAAAGTAAAACTTTATTAAGCAGATAAATATCACTATTTTTTTCCTATTTAAGCCTCAAAGTGCCAGTGTTGAAACTGGGTAGGATGTGGGCCTGCTGATAGGAAGCCACACCCAGCAACCAGAAATGTATTAAAACTCTGGGCAGTTCATTTTAATGAAAACACGGTCAATGTGGAGGAAATAAATATACTCTCAAAATACATGTATGAAGCAGTTTCAAGGCAATGGGTTTAACTAAATTAGCATTACTAATGAATTCCTTTTTGTAAAAAACAAACTGCAATGCTCTAGCAATTTATATTTTTATTTTAAGATGAATTACTCTTTTACTTTTTAAAAAATGTCCTTATTGATTTTTAGAGAGAGAGAGGAAGGGAGAGGGACAGAGAGATAGAAATATCAATGAGAGAGAAGCATCATCAATCGGCTGCCCCCTACAAACCTGGGGATCGAGGCACAACCTGGGCATGTGCCCTGACCAGGAATAGAATTGTGATCTCCCGGTTCATAGGTCAACGCTCAACCACTGAGTCACACCAGCAAAGCTCATTGGATAAAATTTTAGAATATAAATACTTCCCTTTCTCAAACATACATATTTAAAATAACAGGATTTCAAATATCCTATATAATAAAAGCCTAATATGCAAATTGTCCCCTCGAAGGGGAGTTTGACCAGGGGGCAGGGCCGTCTGGACAACTGCCCATGGCCCCTCCCCCCGCTAACCCTGCCCCCGCTGGCTGCGACAGCAGCAGGCAGCTGGGGGGAAGGGAGGCCCTGGCCTGTGGCCAGCAGCCTCTAGGGACCCTACCGATGCACGGATTTCGTGAACTGGGCCTCTAGTATAAAATAATGCTTACCTTGTTAAAGATATTCAGTAATTCCAAGTCAGCTATGGCCTTTTAGCTTTAAGAACAAAATTATACACCAAGACATAAAAAGATAGACACTTCAGAGATAAGATATATACTGTACAAGGTCAGCATTGCTGCCTAAAGCCCATCACAATTCTTAAATGAAAAGTAACAGTTTATCGAGAAGTGGTTAAACTTACTCACGTACCTCATAAAAACCCAAGATTATGAAACCACAAATAATGTTAGTCCTCAAACACAGCAGACAACAATGAATGAATGACCTACATTACTGGATTTCACAGACAATATGTCTGTCCTTGAAGATGGGACCATAGGCTGGATGGGTCACAGGGAAGATAAGCTTTCTATGCTACATGCCTTTTGCTATCACTGATTATGTATGACATTAAATTTTACTTACACATTCCTCATCTGTTTTGCAGACTTAGAAATGTGTGAAGAAAGAAAAGATTCTAACAGCCTTGTAAAATCACTCATAAATCATGTACTTATTAAATGCCTCAGCTCTTAAACTGTCATATATATATATGACAGATAAGCAAAAAAAAATTACTAAAGGTTATGATAACATTGAAAAAAATCCCTTGATTCTTATCAGATTGACCCTTCATTTTCTCATCTCCTGATATAGAAAGTCAGCCTCTTGCAATTCTCTGAAATTTAAATTAGAGGTTATGTTTCCATGTCTTAACTGAGAAAGCTTAGCTTCCTCCTTTCACCCTCTTCTTTTTCTGAGAGTATGTCCCTAATCTGGGGTTGCCTAAGGTTTCAAAATACATTTCTTAACCTCTTTTGTGTGCCGCCCCAGTGCAGCCTTTGATATGCACTTTCCTCTTCCCATCATATTTTCACAATATTCACCTTCTGACAAAATTCACTTAACTTTTACTGTGTTCCAACTATGAGTGGTGGTAAACTTTTGTATGGCAGGTGTGTACAGGGCACAAGAATGGAAGCTTTGGTGAATTTCACCATTAGGTGAATTTCAGTCCTGGTACTGAGTTTACAATTTCTGAGTAAAGGAGGAAAGCCCTAGAAAGCTGAAAGGTTTTCATTTAGAAAATATTTAAGAACAGTGCAGTTCCTTACCAGGGCCCAGAAGGGAAGGTGGGTGGGATGAACTTTGGTTCACTGTAGATGCCAATGCAGGCTGAGAACAGTAACCTTTCTGAAGGATATGCAGGGGCAGATTATGTGTAGGGTGTAGGGCAGCTTCCCACCAGAGATTTCTTGACTTCTCACCATATTGCAGCAAGACTCTGAAATAGCAAAGTGGAGATACCCAGATTGTAAGTAAAGGAAGAAGGGAAAGCAAAAAGCAATATGGTTTTCACTGTCTGACAGAGAATAAATCCTACCTAAATTAATGTGTACACATCTTCATTACCTCCCCATATTTCTCAACAAAAATAAATGGTGGGTGGGGATTACACTGATTATAAGAACGACTTTCCAGGAGCCTTATAGCAAAAGTTGTTAACTCCTGCCACAAAGAATCATAGGCACCAACAAGGTTTGTATTTTGTAGTTTCTTCCCCTCAAGCTCCCGGGACTGCATACAAAAGAAAAAGGAAAGAAGAAAGAATTGAGAAGTAGAGAAGGCCCAGAGTAGTCCAAATAACACAGCTATGCTACCGACCTTCTGCTCTGGGAGTGGCTGTGAATCTTTCCGGGGAAGATCAACAATGCAGGTCTGAGTGAGACCCAGATACAGGCTCCTCGGTTTCTGCAACTGCAACATCCCCAGCACCCGAATTCTTTGGGACAGCTGTTCTACTTTTAAATGGACAGAACTCTAAGGGGGTGTAGTTGTCCAATGACACTCAGGAGTGGAGAAGCAGGGTTAGAGAAGGAAGGGGCGATTCCCTACCTCCTCCCCACCATTCTTCAGAGAATTCCCGCCGGGACTGTGGCCATCCTCCCGAGGTCAACAGCTGCCCCGGCTCCGGGACGCATCGCAGAGTGTGGCTGTGTGTGTGAGAGGGTCCCTGTCCTCTCTATTAGGCCAGGTCCCCTTGCTGCCCACGCTCCACATCGCCCGGGAACCTTACCCGAAAGCTCTGAGCACAAACCCCTGCACTTGCTACAGGGATGAGGTTCATGCGGGCGGCCATCTTGGCCACGCCCCCTCACGTCTCGCCACGCCCCTCACGCCTGCGTGTCATTCGCTTACGTATTCATATTGCGCCCCCGACCGCCCAACAATGCCTTAAGCCACGCCCTGGCCACGCCTCCTAAGGGCACCTGGGCTTTCCTCAGAGCCTCTTCCACAGTGGAGCGCCTGCGCGCTGACGTGGCCCCGCCCCTCCCCTCCGCCTGGGTTCAAACCTCCTCCTAGGACGGTCTTCGCGACGCCTCTGAGGGCAGCAAAGCTACGCCCTGCGGACTGGGCGCGCCCTCAGGTTCAGGGTACGTCCTTGCGTACACTACTCCGTGGCCCCTCCTCTCTATTGGTGTTCGTCGTCCTTCTGCTGACTCCACTTCTGTCCCTTGTGCCCTGTCCCTGCTTTTAACTCTAGTCATTCCTGTGCCTGAGTTTACCCCTCCCGCAGTCTCTGGGCTAGGCCAAGGCCACGCCCCTACCCACAGGGCGGGCGCCTGCGCTCCTTCCCTTGGTTCCAGGCTCTGCCCCTCAGGTCCGCGTCGCATTTCTTCCTTCCTGCATTCCACGCCCTTCTGTCTTGACCAATTCCGACGTTCTGTCTCTGATACGTGGCAAGATCCATTGGCCAGGCCCATCCCGCTCTTGCGCATTTTCCTACATTCGGTCTTGGCCTCTCCCTAGGTTCCCAGGCCACCCACTGTTGGTTCCTTCCCGAATAACTCGCGCTTCCCGCTCTCCCTCCTTGTTCCTGGGAAGCCATGGAGGAGTGGGTGGGGCCCATGAGTTTCCAGAGAAAACCTCCCAGGTCTCAGAGCTAGAAGTCGGAGGCATTTATATAAGGGAACAGGCCTGGGGGTCCTAGATCCTTGTCTAGTAATTTACTTTTTTTCATATTTTTCCCAGCTCCAAACACCACAACTATGAGCAGAATCCGGATCGGAAACATAACTGGGAACCTACTGGAACTGTGTTCCTACAAGCCCCTCGGCTGACCTTTAGTGCTAAACAGCTGCACGGAGTAAGCATGCGCCTCTACTTCCTGATGTAGCCTTCAGATGATTTTTCCTAGGCACCCTGTGTGTAGGGCCTGTGGAGACAATACCACACTTAAACCTCTGCCTACGGCCCCCTACTCTGAAATTATCTTCTTTACCCCCTCCAGTTACAATTCTGGGTCCACAAAAAAAAGTGAAGCGGTTATTACCAGCTTTTTTTTTTTTTCCTGCCCCGAAATCTCTGAATGGGATCTCCTGGGGGCAGGGCACTTTCCATTAACCTTTCAGGTATTCATTAGTTTAAATTGCATTTATGAAGTACTGAGTTCCAGTGACAAATAAGAAAACCACAAGAAGCTTACAGCCTGAAGTTCCCCCCGACTCGAATTTGGAACAAGATTTGATGAGAAAGTTAAGGAAGGTGTAGTATGGGGATTGTTTACTAGGTGGAAAAGGACTTGGCAAATGCTGGTCTTTTTTTAAATTGAAATATAATTGACATATAACATTATACTAGTTTCAAGTGTACAACATAATGATGCAATATTAGTGTATATGTTGAAATTATCACAGTAAGTGTAGTTTACGTACATCTCACTACTCAGTTACAGATTCTTTTTCTTGTGATGAGAACTTTAAGATTTACTCTCTTAGCAACTTTCAAATCTATAATACAGTATTATTAACTGTAGTTGCCATGCTGTATGTTACATCCCATTACTTATTTATTATTCAACTGGAAATTTGTACCTTTTTACTCCCTTCACCCATTTCACCCCCCCATCCCCACCCCTCATTCCACCTCTGGCAACCACCAGTCTCTTTTCCATATCTGAGTTTGGTTTGTTGCTTTTGTTAGTTTTTTTAATATTCCACATATAAGTGAGATTGTATGGTATTTGTCTTTCTGTCTGACTTACTTCACTTAGCATAATGCCCTTCAGGTCCATGTTTGTTTGTTTTTTGAGAAACATAGTTTTTCTTGACTTTTAGTCTCCAGGGAAATTCTGATTCTTCATCATGATACCGAGAACTAAATGGGAAACAAAGGACGATAAAGAGTTTTATATAGATACTCTCAATGTAAATTATGGCCACAATCACAAAGCACGGTGGATTAGATCAATTCTATGACACTCCCAAGTTTCCTTTTCATTTGAGATCACAGGCTTTATTCAGGGCAGCATTTAGGTCACCACTCCCCATTATGGCAAGTTTCAACTCACATGTCAACTGCTTGTGGAAGTTTTGTGACTAAGTTCTCTAATAAAACAACAAAGTCTGTGGTGGGTGCAGGATGGATGAGTGGTTGCAGCAACCTATCTGGCATTTCAGATTTGTAGTAATAAAGGTCTAGCATGCATGTCTTTTAGGCAGTCCTCAAAAACAACATTTTTTACTATAGGCTTTTGATGACTTTCACACAATAGCAGGATCAAGGTCATTATTGCTGGCCAAACTTAAGGGCAGAAACGTTGATATACTGATTAATTCATATGCTTTGTATATCAGTCAAAACAAGGATAGTTTAAGATTCTTTTATGAAAAGGAGAACCTCTAACCAAAAAGACACATGGCCCAATAGCCCCTCCACCTCTTTATAGAGGTTGGCAAAGGAAGTACCTATAGGCTAGGCTAAATGTGACAGGGTGACTGTCAGCCAAATAGAAGATTAAGGATGGAAAATGCTACTCTATAGAGCATGGCTGCAATAATTTTAGCCTAGAAAAAAAAATCATGACTTACCTAACTGAGAATACTCTTTTTGTATAACAACCCAACAATATTGGAAACAGTAAAACATCTAGGATTAAATGTCAGTAAAGTCTTGCTTTTACTATACAGAACCCATTTTAATGTATTGGTCTTCATGTACAAGATGAAGCACGAAGACAAGCACACAGGCATTCCGTTTAAGGAAGTGTCCTTTAGCCCTAACCGGTTTGGCTCAGTGGATAGAGCATCAGCCTGTGGACTGAAGGGTCCCAGGTTGAATCCCGGTCAAGGGCATTTACCTTGGTTGTGGGCACATCCCCAGTAGGGAGTATAAAGGAGGCAGCTGAATTGCTGTTTCTCTCTCATGGATGTTTCTAACTCTTTATCGCTCTCCCTTCCTCTCTGTGAAAAATCAATAAAATATATATATTTTAAAAATGTCCTTTAAATTCCTACCTTAGGAATATTAAGTTGGCAGGATTACACTCACTCAGTTTGTCTGAATTAATCTTTATTTCCACACAGTAGTGATTAACTTTCTCTGAACTAGAAAAATGTTACCCTGTGAAAAAAAGGGATAAAGTTCATAATGGTTATGGTTTTTTTATTAACCCTAAAAATTTGATGAACCTTCAGATTTTTTTCTCATCTTAAAAAGGGCATATCATATGGGAGTGGAAACAAAAATATTACAAAGCCTAGGATTTCTTGTTTATCAATGATAATGAAGTTGTTATTTTCTGGCCAAAAATGTAGAAAAAAATTGCAGTGTACCTCATAGGTACTTCATTTTCACAGTCTCGAGCTACTTAGAATGTCAGTTTATAATTCATATAAGTCAATTCAGTTTTATTAAATTATCAAATATTCAAGGGGCATGAGAAATGTAGAATTGAACCAAATATATCCCCTGCTCTCCAGAAACTTAAAGTTTGTAGGATACGAAAGTAAATCATGTTAGCAATAAATGCATGTATGGCTGTGAACAAAATGCTGTAAGAACGCAGGAAGAGAGAATAGAAAGTTAGTAGTTTGGACAAGTTTACAACAAATAAAAATCGATAACAAAAACTAAAGAAAGTTTTCTCAAAGGAGATGATACTGAGATAGGCCTGTAAAAATGGCTAATATGTTTAAAGGTACAAAATGAAAAAGGGAAAGCTCCCAGTATTGAAGTTAAGGAACTAGTGTGAAAAGAACACACAGAAAGAACAGAGGTAGGATATAGCCCACTTGCAGAGTAGCTGGCAGAATGGCTTAGAGGAGGATGGAGCAGCAGCATTAATGTGGATATGTCCTAAAAGCCCAACTTAGCTTCAGATCTTTTTTTTTTTTTAAATATATTTTATTGATTTTTTACAGAGAGAAAGGGAGAGAGATAGAGAGTTAGAAACATCGATCAGCTGCCTCCTGCACATCTCCCACTGGGGATGTGCCCGCAACCCAGGCACATGCCCTCGACCGGAATCGAACCTGGGACCCTCCAGTCCGCAGGCCGACGCTCCATCCACTGAGCCAAACCGGTTTCGGCTAGCTTCAGATCTTAACAGGTTCAAGAGTTTGGATTGTCTGACATAGGCAAAGGGGTGCTAATGAAGATTTCATGTGGAAATGACTTCATTGTAAATGACAAGAAGGACAGAAACATCATTCAGTGATAGTGTGTTTTAGATGTCTGCTTATTAATCACTAGAGGGCTGGTGCACGAAATTTGTGCACAGGTAGGGTCCCTAAGCCTGGCTGGCGATCAGGGCCGATCTGTGGGGCAACCGGCAGGGTGACTGAGGGGTCCCTGCTGGCACCTGCCTTGGCTGGCCTGGCATCCCCCCACCCCCCGCCGCCACCACCAGTCAGGGCCTTCAAGCCAGGGGCAGCTCCTCATTGAGCATCTGCCCCCTGGTGGTCAGTGTGTGTCATAGCGACCAGTCGTTCCACTGGTCATTCTGCTGTTTGGTCAGTTTGCATATTAGGCATTTATTATATAGAATGGGCTGTTGGACTGGGTCAAGCAACCAGGCATTTGTTCTTTCTTATTAGCCATCTTAATAAAAAGATAAATGAGTTTATTTTAATAATAATTTCAGAATGTGGAACAAATGAGTTTATTATAATAATTTCAGAATATGAAACAAATGATGTTAAAATCTCATAGTATGCTTGATTTTACACACACACATTTAGTTTCCTTTTATCTCCTGTACTTCCTTTTGTCAGTTATTTCCATTAACTCAAATACAAGGAGCAGAAAGGTACTATATAAAGGCCTAAAAGATGTTTCTAAAGTTTGTAGGATGTTTGGCAGCATCCCTGTCCTCTAACCAACAGATACCAGTAGTGACAACCAAAAATGTCCTGAGTTGCCAAAATGACTTCTGTAAGAAAAAAAAATCCACCACCCCCACCTCCATCGACAACCACTGAGTTAAAATAGTATTTTTCACAATAGACAAACTACTTTATCTTCCCATGTACCTTAACACTGAAAATTTAAAGAGAAAAGTAATTTTTACCTCCTAATTATACTGAAAATATTAGACTAATTACTATAAACATCTTGATACTGTTTTATAGCATATCAATTTCATTTCAGTTTAAATGATGAAGAATCACATTTATTAAAAATTCTACAACTTTTAGAAAATGAATGAGTAGAGCCAATAGTTTTTAAAGGTACAAAATGTTCAGCTATTAAAAGTTTGATTTCTTTTAATGTGTCACAGCTGGGTACGTTTCTCAAAACCCAATAAAATGTGCAGAGTAAAGTTATATTTGAAATGGTTTCACAGTTTACTAGTTTTAGGTGTTATGGTTTTATGAACACCTGTATGTGGTAATGAAACAATAATTGGGGTTAAGTTTTAAAAGCAGCATTGGTTCTTCCTACCTCTTGTTTTATTGAAGGTAAATGGAGCATATATATCCCCACATGCTTTTACAGCTCTGATGATCTTAAAAAGGCATCTCACATGAATGAAAAGAACAACCCACATGTTTTCACGTGATCTCATATTTAATTTACCCTCCTGAGCAGTAGATCAATAGTTACGTGCTGAGAAACTGCTTTTCAATACTGTTGTGGAGTATGCAAAAACATGGAAAAATCAATTTCTTTTTTATGCCTCAAGAGACTCTCTGTGTTTCCTATTGCTCATGGCAACAATAATCTCAACCTTTTATTTATGTTCTCTAAGCTTGGGACATTGAAAGCCAATAGTAAGGCCTGGGGTGGGGAGCAGGGGTGGGGTGGGAGAGGTCAATGGGGGAAAGGGGGACATATGTAATACTTTCAACAATAAAGATTGGATTTTTTAAGAAGGAAGTCAGTAGTAACATATTCAGAATGATTGAAACTGCTTTACTTGTCATCATTACCATGGCTACTAATAAGGTATTAGGCTCCAATATGTGGAATTGCTGAAATGAGCATTGTATGAAGCAAGTTTGATATGAATTCTCAGGAGGTTTAATACTTAAAATTGTACATGAAAATAAAGAGTAGATACAAGATTTTGAAAAGTATAAGAAAGTAAAGACAGTATATTAAGAGGCAAGAACAATAGTATCTAGTTCTATGTTCCACCTATTTTATTGAGCTATCAAGTTCTTTATTAAATCATTTTTAGCATGTTTGAAGTGATCCATACCTTTTAAGAACCTTCATATTTTAAGTCAATGCCTTACTTTATAGTTTCTCTTTCTATTCACCTGACGGGACCCATGAAAGTTGATATTTAAAAAAAATTTATATGTTCTTATTGATTTTTAGAGTGAGAAGGGAGACAAATAGAGATAGAAGCATTGATCAGCTGCCTCACGAATGCGAACGCCCCCTATTGGGAATTGAGTCCGCAACCCAGGCATGTGCCCTGACCAGGAATTGAACCAATGAAACTCTTAATTCATGGGTCAATGTTCAACCACCTAACCACACAGGCTGGGCAAAAGTTGATATTTTTAATCATTTCATTTTGGGCTGCTGTTTCTTTTGCAATTGTCAAATACTTTTCTAAGCAATACTGGAATATAGAAAAATTAAAACGTAATTATAGACTTTTTTGAAAAGAAGGATGAGATCACTGTGCATCTATACTTCTTATGTCATGTGCCAGAAGAATACTCCAAGGAAAATTAATAGCCACAGATATTTTCATTATTAACTGAGAAAGATTAAAAAGAAATAAGCCTATTAACCAGCTCAAGAGTTATAAAAAGAACAAGAAAGCCAGTACAATGACAACAGGGGTAAGGACTTAATGAATGTAAATATGATTGATGAATCACAAAGCAGAAAGAAAAGAATTGAAAATTAAATTCAAGATCTTATTCTTTGATTAAACAACAACAAAACTAGGTAAACCTATGGCAAGATAATGGGAAAATGAGAAAAAAATACACACCAGAAAATATAAAGGGAATATAAGCAATGAATGTAGATTTTTTTATGGCAAAGAAATATAAAGTCCATGAGAATACTGGAAAATCTTAATAAAATGAATGGAAGTTGTCAGTAGCCAAAATGGACTCAGAAAGAAATATGAAACCTATAATAAATGGCAATACAAGAAATGAAACTTTTGAAATAACACTTCTTCCATAATAGATATGGTCCACATTCTTCAACTCTGAATTTTGTATTTTTTCTGCATTTTAAGTATTTGTAAACATAGACAATGCTAGAAATCTTTCTATAACATTTCAAGATGGCAATATAAAAGCAGGAAAAAATAAACTTTAAGAATCAGCACTTGAGCCCAGCTGGTGTTGCACAGTGGTTGGGCATCAACTCATGAACCAGGTCACCATTCGATTCCCTGTCAGGGCACATGCCAGTTGTGGGCTTGATCCCTAATGGGGGCATCCAGGATGCAGCCTATCAATGATTCTCATCATTAATGTTTTTTTCTCTCCCTTTCTCTCCCTCTCTGAAATCAATGAAAACATATATATTTTTTAAAAAATTAGCTACATGATATTCTATGAAAATAAGTTTAAAAACCCAGGGAAAAAGCAGTAATTGAGTCTAGAAGCATGTTAAAAATCATCAAAATGAGTATTCAGTGTAAGGAATTTATTAATATAATGCACCAAATGGTAAAAACTCTAGGATCATATTAAGAGATGCTGAAAAGACAGTTGATAAAATTCAACATTAATTATTGATAAAAGAAAATAGTAAACTGGAAATAAAGGAGACTTTTATCTTATAACACATCAAATTTAATGTGACTCACCAGATGCTGTGGAAGACCAGTAATCCCATTAAAGTGAGGAAGACGACAAGGTTCATGTTATTCCCATTACATCATCCTGTTCTGATAGTGCTGCTACAATGAGACAAAATGACAGCAACATCATGCAAGAAGATCCAAGGTTAAGGAAAGTATGTATAAACTATTAAAATATATTAATATTGGTCATCTGTGCTAGTTCATCATGGGTGTTTTGTACTTTTCTATGTTTTCTGTACAGAATTTGTGTTGCAAATTTTTTGTTGTTTTTAAAATGAGACAACATTGAGAAATCATAACTTAAAAGGGAAAATATTTTCTCTCTTCAAATGAATGGCTTAGATTACAATTCAGCATTTTCCTGTCTTCAACTCTAGTCATGTAGATGATTAAGTAAAAGCAAAAGAGAGGTATTTGGTACTTTTATGACATTTCAGGCTAAAGGAAAGCTGAATTGGATTTCTGTCTCTAACATGGCTTTGTTCCTTGATGCCAGTTTTCACCTTTCTTACAGTCTCTATTGACTTTTCCTTCCCATGATGACTTTATCTTGTCTAACATTTGCCATGATAACTTGATCTAGTCTGACTTTGTTTGCAGGGGTTAGTTATATTAACTCTTACTTCTAGGAACTTTCCATTTTACCTAATAGTGAAATTTCTAAAATGGCTGGGCTAACTTTTGGCTGCCTCTCCCTCTAGTCTAACTTCGCCTGACTCTGAGCCTTTGCAACCAAAGTGGAGGAAAGGCAAACAAGTTTCCTCAGGTGGAGTTAGCAAACACAAAAGGGTCAGATGATAACATACCACCCTAATTAGGAGGGGGAAATGGTGTGACTCTCAAAGTGTTGAAGAAGTGTCATTGTTTGCATTTTCTCATTGTTGCTTTAAAAATCCAAACTGTCTATTTAACATCCGGGTCACCCAACCTAATTTTCCCACTCATGGTTTTCAAGCCACAAGGTCGAGTTTGGGGAGCAAATGCATGAAGAGGCAGAATGGAAGAGAGAACAGCCCTGACATGGACCCTCTGTGGGGCTTCTACTGGCCTCTACAGAGTGCCCCCCAGGGAAGGAGTCTCGTCCATTCTTTATCTTACTCAGAGCATCTCTGAGGTTTTGCTGCAGTCTCAGCTTTTACACCATGATGACCTGAGATGCAGTGTGGCTCAGTGTGGCGGAGAGAGGGTTCAAGTGACACCTATTCACTCCTCCCATTGCCACCAATGCCTTGAACAGGAGCCTTCATTTCCTCGCTGTAAGGTAATTAGAACAACTGCACCAGTGAGGTGCTCTTTGGAGGATTAAAGAAAGAACCCAGCAGACCTAGTTTGTGGTGGGCAGCTCTTAATGACTGCTCTATGGCATCACTGACCAGTGTGCTCACCAGCCACATGTGGCTGCTTAATTTACACTTGATCTTAGCCAAAAGGCCGAGAAGCGATGTGGCTGCTTAATTTAATCAAGAATTCCTTTCACAGCAGCACCAGCCCCATTTCAAGTGCTCAACAGTCACCCATGTCTACTGGCTACCACTCTGTGTGGTGCAGCTAGGAGCATTTCCATCATCACAGGGTGTTCCATTGGACAGTGCTGCGCTATGTCATCAGCTGTGATTTTGCACAGCTGCCACACCTTCGGTCTGACCAAAATCATTCCCTTTGAATTGGAGGCTGGGCCAGGATGTGTACCTGCAGAAGTGTGAGTCAGGTAAGGCCCTTCTTGCAAGGCCTTTGTCTCCAGAGATAGAAAGGAGTGATATTAGCTTTCCAAATTAAGATAGCTTATCTGTCAGCCAGATAGATACTTTAGGCCTGAAAAGATGGGAAGTTCATACCTGGAAAAAACCTCCAGAGAGGACTCAATTCTTTCCATCCTGCACTTAACCAGACAACAAAGGGAGTGTGTGTGTGGGGGGGGAATTCTGACTTTGAGTCAGCAGAGGAAACATTCTTTCAAGCTAGAGTTTGCAAAGCACAACTAACCTGTTTTCCAAACAGGTTTTTGTAAATAACTGACAGGAGATGGGGTTGTTTTATCAAAGTATTAACCTAAGTGATGGGGATTAATCATTAAACCTTCTAGCTGGTGGTTTGCTTGTTTCTCTGCTATTCTAATCCAGGTCACAGAATGGCTAAAGCAGCTTTAAGTGGAGGGTGGATTATTTTTCCCTTGGTTTGTCTTGTGTTTTCCTCTCTGAAAGAATGTTGTGGCTGCTCTTTTTTCTGGTAACTGCTATTCATGCCGAACTCTGTCAACCAGGTATGTAGCCCTGAAACTTAAAAATAGATGAATAATTTTTAATGTTTGATAAGTCTTTGATTGAAAGACCTCTTTATTTTTCAAAATCTATAGACATGTTGTGGCTTGAAAGTTGAGCTGTTTTATGAGTTTGAAAGACAATTTTAAACCACCTAAGGTGATTACAGTTAAACTTGAGGAACTTGGGGAGCAGTTTATTTGCATTTCTGTGTTCTGTTTATTTCATTTGCATTAGATATTAGGATTTGTTAGGCTCAGTTTGGGCAGATTTTATCATACACTGCTCTTTTTTCTTTCTGGCAGATGCAGAAAATGCTTTTAAAGTGAGACTTAGTATCAGAACAGCTCTGGGAGATAAAGCAGTAAGTGGAGAACCTGTGTGTTCATTTTAAATTTTGTTTGCTAATAACATTGTGCTTTCTCTAATAATGAGCCTCTTTACCTGGTTATTTTAAAGTTGCATAGCTTGCTTCTAAAGACCTCAAATCCAGTATCTTCTTAAAAATGAAAATATTATAGTAAAATAGAAATTGTTAATAAAATGATTTTGCCTAAAATACTTTATTTACAGTTTATGCTAGAAAATATGTGAAGGTTTGTATTATACAAAACAATTTTGCACTGTTGAACATTTCAACCCAGCATAGTGCAGCAAAGGGGCCTGAATCTGGCAGTTAGGTCTTGGTTGGGTTCTGTGCTTCACTATTGTGGTCATTTGAATTTTGTTAGCCTCAGTTTTGTAGACATTGAAAAGAGGTCATATTTCATCCGCTTAAGAGTTTTCATAGCACAAATTTTCACATTCTCACATGAAGTTTCTTAATTCTTCCTAAGTATCAAAATAATAACATGAAATGTATAGTTATAAAATTGAAATTTAATACTTATGGTGCTCATGTAGTTATAGGAACAGTAAAGAGTATCGAATTAATAAGGTGGTATTTTATAACTTTAGTTTCAGTTTTCCAGTATGGTCTGTGAAAATTTCCCCCAATAGAAGGTGATATTAAGATGCTTAGACTATAAACAGTAGAGAACCGCTAAAGAAACTTAGAGGTATACTGTTTAGAGGCTATGTTTTATTTTATTCACTCAATGAGTAATCATTATTGAGAACCTAGTTTACTTTCTAGTTGGGCACCTTCTAGAGCAGTTTGCTCACATCAGCTCATTTAGCTGTCACAATAACCCTTTGAGGAATGTAGTACAGGTATTTCTATTCTCATCAAATGGATGAGCGGTGCAAAGAAAGTAAGTGACCTGCTCAAGATCTCAAGTCAGCAGTTGGTAAAGGTAAGATGGAACCCAGACAAGTCTGGCTGCAGGATTCACTCTCTCTCCTTGTGCTATATACTGTTTATCCCAGGATCCTGGGTTCTAGGGATGCAGAGCAGCTAAACCCAGGCTTGTCCCTATCCTTATGGAATTATAGTAGTCAGAGAATTGGTTGGCCATTAAATAGTCAGTGAACCAAATGCAAATGTGCATTCTGGACGAATATTACCGGAAGGAGAAGTACAAGTGGGTTTTGGCCTCAGTACCTGGCATTTGCTGTGAGGTCTGAAGCATGAGTAGAAGTGAACTAAGGGATAACAGAAAAAAGGGCAGAGGAAACAGCATGTGCAAAGGATTCTTCACGAAGGAACTTGGTGACAGTGAGGGGTAGAAGGGAGATTGAGTTTTCTGGAACTGGAGCAGTGAGGAGGAGCATGACACATGATGAGCTTAGAGAGAAAGGAGGGGTCAGGCCAAAGAATATGTGGACTGTGTTAGGGAGTTTTGATATTACCTTTAATGTCATGATAGAATTTGTGTTTGGAAGACAGTTTAACAACAGTGTGGAAGACAGATTGGAGGGTGCTAGAGTAGAAAGGTGGCATCAATTAGGAGGTGATTGGCATAGCGTAGGTGAGAGGTGATGTTCATTTGTCACACACACACACACACACACACACACACTGAAAGATACTTGTGTGTGTGTAGAGAGTAGTGAAGGGATTCGAGAGCCACTGGGATGGTATGACAAGGATGAGTCAGGGATGGAGCTTTTGTTTCTAATTATGCAACTGGATGGGTGATGTCCTATTTATGAGTTAGGCAACCAGGTAAAGACAATAACAGACTTTAATTTTGAACTTATTGTGTTTGAGCTATTATTGATAAATAGGCAAGGACAGAGCTGAGATATACATTCCTGAGTCATTTGTTCTAAGATGATAATGGAGTAAATGACAGTGCCCAGGGGGGAAAGTACAGAGGTCCAAGAGGAGAGAGAGCTTTGAGTTTCTCTAAAACTTGAAGTCCTTGTAGAAGACAGTGAATCTGCAAAGGGGGCAAGAGGAAAACTAACAAACTCTTGTATCACAATTGGGAAGAGAGCGCTTCAAGATGAAGGGAGTTTTCAAGAGCGGCAAATGCTGTTGAGAGGCCAAGCAAGATGAGAATGAAGAATGCTCATTGTGTTAAACAATGTGGAGATAACTGGTAACTTTAGAGAGAGCTGTGCTTTTAGAATTGCAGAATTGGAAGGCAGATAATGAGGGGGTTTAAGAAGAAGTGGTCATGGTCATTGAACATATAATGAGAGAAGTATGGACAACTCTTTCAAATATTTTGGCTGTGAAGGACTAGAGAGAGACATAAGTAGGTGGAAAAAGGAAGACTGAGTAAAGTGATTCGGTTTTGCTGTTGTTTTATGGGAAAGACTTGAGTGTGGTTGAAAGTCAAATGACAGGCTCAAGGAGCATTGAACAACAGGAGGGGGGAAACTGATATTGTTTAGAGCCTGAGGAGGGCAGAAGGGAAGTGTTCCTAATAGAAGTGGGTGGAATAGCCATGGACAGGAGGAGAAAAACCACATCTGTCCCTTCAGGGAAGGATATAAATAGAATGTGTGTCTATGGAGGAAGTCTTGTATTTGGTGACAGGAGGTTGGGGGAGTTTAAATTGATGACTTGAGATGTATCTATAAATTATGAAGCAAGAGCATCTAGTGAGATGTGATGGATAGCACTGAGATTTGTGGGGACTGAAGAGGGCTTAGAATAGTTATTGTGAACCATGAGAGAAAGAAAACTGATGGGGAAACCTAAGACAATTTGGGAGTAGGTCACCATGAATTTAGAGTAACCAAGAAACCCTGTTTTGTGATTTTCTCCAGTAATACTTGATTACTCACTATAATATGAGTAGGCTACATTAGTTTCCTAGTGCTTCTGTAACAAAGATTGGGTCACTTAAACACAGCAGTGTTTATTTTCTTTCAGTTCTGGAGGCTAGAAATCCAAGACAAGGTATCATCAGGGTTGGTTCCTTCTGAGTTCCATGAGGGATGGAGTCATTCCAGGCCTCTCTTCTTGGCTTGTAGGTGGTTGTCTTCTCCCTATATCTTCACATGTCTTCTTTCAGTGTGTGTGTGGTGTGTGTGGTGTGTGTGTGTGTGTGTGTGTGTGTGTGTGTGTGTATCCAAATTTCCTCTTCTTGTAAGTACACCAGTCATATTGGATTAGGGCCCACTTTATTGATCTAATTTTAACTTAATCACCTTCATAAAGACACAATCTCTAACTATGATTACATTCTGAGGTACTGGGATAGGACATAAAAATTAATGTTTCTTTGGGAGAGGCAGCCCAATTCAGCCCGTAACATGTACATACACTCAGGTTTCAAGCTAAGAAAATTTGCACTGATGTTTATAAAGGAAGGAAGCTGAGAGGGGGAATCAGTTTCTGTGGGAAAGAAGAAAGGGAGGAAGGGAACTGACTGTATTTGTCCATTATGAGTTGTCCAAATGTCATATTTATTGGCTATTAATACTGCAGATCTGAAGAAGATAATACAATGGAAAACATACCACACTTGGAATGATAGAATGTACAAGAAACTCTATCCTGAACATTATGGTGATATGATCTATCATAGTTTCCAGTTTTTAGTATATAAGAAAGATGAGGGGGTGGAATACTGTGACCACAATTAGGATCCAGTGCACCATTTTTGTTGTTAATCCTCACCTGAGCATATTTTTCCCCGTTGCTTTTCAGAGAGAGTGGAAGGGAGAGAGAGAGGGAGGGAGGGAGAGAAACGTAGATGTGATGTGAGAGAAATACATTGATTGGTTGTCTCCCACACACGCCCTGACTGGGGGCGGGGAGTGAATCCCCAACCCAGCATGTGCCCTTGAATGGGAATTGAATCCAGTCTAACCACTTAGCAACACAGGCCAGGGCAATCCAGTGCACTAATTTTTACCTCATGCCTCTTTGCTTTTTATTTCTGTTTTACTTCTCTTCAGTATGCCTGGGATACAAATGAAGAATATCTCTTCAAAGCAATGGTGGCTTTCTCCATGAGGAAAGTTCCCAACAGAGAAAAAACAGAGTAAGTAAACAGTGAAAAATCTTAATTGATAACTTGCAGTATTATTTGAGATAGTGTAATAATTTAAAACTTGATTATGAAAAAACATTATTAATCTCATTTTAAGGGAACCACATTTTTGTTTAACTTTTACAAAAGCTTTCTGCATTTCTGTTGTATGCATATTTCTCTTGCTAATGAATAGATAGATAGTATAGATAAGAACTCGACTCTCATTGTATTAGTCAGCTCGGCTCCTGTAACAAAATACCACAGACTGGGTGGCTTAAACAACAGAAATTTATTTCTCATGGTTCTGGAGGTTGGAAAGTCCAAATTTAAGGTGCTGCCAAGGTAGATTTCATTCTGAGGGCTCTTCTTTTGGCTTGCAGGTGCTCCCAGCTAATTGTGTGCTCATGTGACCTCTTCAATAAAGGGGAAGTGGAAGGGGAAAGAGTGAGCTCTCTGGTATCTCTTCTTATGAGGACACTAATCCTATATTGTTAGGGCTCCACCTATGACCTAATTTAGCCATAATGACCTCCTATAGGCCCTTATCTCCAAACTAGAGGCCCGGTGCATGAAAATCCATGCACACAGTGGGTCCCTCAGTCCAGCCTGCGCCCTCTCACAGTCTGGGACCGTTGGGGGATGCCCACCTGCTGGCTTTGGCCTGCTCCCCAAGAACAGATGATCTAAAAGAAATAATCATATCCTTAGGTAAGGATTTTTTTAAAAAGGTAATGGTCACATGAAAATTCACTGCTAACAGGGCTGAGGGGACTGGGGGACTCTGACGGCAGCCGCGCCGCACACCTGCTGCGGCACCCCCCCCCCCCCCCGGGGCTGAGGGGACTGGGCGCTGCCATCTTGTGGCTGTGGCCGTTGCCATCTTGTGAGGGTGTGATCGTCAATTAGCATATTACCTCTTTATTATATAGGATACAGTTATATTTGGGGTTTGGGCTCCAAGATATGATTTGGAGGGAGGGGGACAAATAAATCCATAGTACTCATTTTGAAAATAAATATGTATAGGTTTGCTGGTATCTATCATAGTACCTTGTTTATTTTCTTAAAGGCTTTAGGACAATTTTTAATAGTTTTACATTTTTATCTATTCATCCGGAAGAATTTTCTCTACTTATGATATTTCCTACTATCTCTATCTGTGATTAAGGTAACACTCCTGGTTTCTCTCTCCTCTATCCCTCATTCTTTCTCTTAAGAGGTAAAAATGAATGATCTGATTGGTGAGCTGCAAGGAGAAATTGGGCTTGGGCTCTCTTCTTTTTCAGAGCCTTCCTGCCCTCAGGCCGCAGCCATTTGCTGCTCCCTACAGTAAGTACAGAATCTGGCCCTGCATGGGCAGGCACACACCTGGAATGCTGTGTGTGCTGGTTACAGCTGAGCACTGTTTAGCTTGGTAGGTGCAGGTCATAAGGTGTTGAATATCTTGTATAATACTCCAGTGTGTGGTGATAGCTGCCTCAGTTCAGTTCTACATGGGACACTGTAGAGGAATTGATTTCATTTAAGGATTTTTTTTTACATTAGGAAGGAAATTTGTCTGCTGATTAAAGTCACATCCTCCAACCCAGCCTTTTATTTTGGTCTCCTATCTGATGCATTCTTTCGTCTTAACTTTATAATGCATCAGAAGCTGATAACGAGGATTGCTATTTATTGGTCTCCCTCAAACCCACACAATATATGATGAATGGGCTATAAATACAAGAAATAAGGTAGGAGTGGAATTGGGGGGAGTGAATTAAACATGTGATCCATGTATTTGTGTGTACATACACACACACACACATACATATATGAAGTCTATAGTAAAACAAAATTATGCTCTGAGTGAACTCTACTATTTTATAGATGTTTAGAAAATATATATTTGCCTTTATTTGATGCCTTGAACCTCCAGTACTCTTTTCACAATTATTTATAATTTTTTTAAACAAAAATTAGATAATAGCATCACAAAAAAATTCAAAAGAAAAAAAGCTACTAGTCATCTTACATTACTAATCCCTTAACTAATCTCTTTTTATTTTCTAGTCCTTCTTATTTAGCAGGTTTTATATGTTGCTGTGCTCATTTTACTATTATATCCTCTAAGTGCCTAAATTTCATCTTGTAAATTACTGTTAAATGAGATGTTTCCATTCTTAGGAAAAGTTCATTTAAACATTTCAGATTAATTTTGAGGAATTCACTTTAAAAACATTTTTTTTTTCAGAACTCTGGGCATTGTAGGAGTCTTGGAGTATCTGACCTGGATTAATTGCCAAAATATGTTTTCCTTGGAATTGGGTGCAGAAGATATATAAAGGTTTTTGTTGCCAGAATCAGTTGAAAAAAAATAAATAAAAAATGCAAAGCTAGATCAGTGTCAGCAAACTTTTTTCTGTAAAGGCTCAGGCTCTGAGTCCCAGCAATACTGTTGTTGGGGCTGAGTGACAAGTCTGCCTAATGAATTAGGATGTGTTTAAAATGCAATTCAAAGTGCTGGGCCGAATTTTACATGCCCTGCCATAAAGGAGGCTTCATCTTTACACAAATGCTTCCCCTGTGGGAAAGGGCACCACAGAATGCTAGGTGAGCTTAAAGATAACTTTGCAGAGAGGTGACCATATCCCATGTGGTGGGTGCATGGAAGACACACTTGGCAACTGGCTCAGGTTTGAAGTCTTTTGCCTTGCCTGGCCGGTGTTGCTCAGTGGTTGATCGTTGACCCATGAACCTGGAGATCATGGTTTGACTCTGGTTAGGGCACATGCCCGGGTTTCTGGCTCAATCCTCAGTAGGGGGCGTGCAGGAGGCAGCCTATCCATGATTCTCTCTCATCATTGATGTTTCTATCTCTCTCTCCTTCTCCCTTCCTCTCTCTCTAAAATAAATAAAAAACATATTTTAAATAAATATATAAATAAATAAAGTATATTGCCTTTCAGAGGCCTTTTGGTGCCAGTGTGAAACAGAGTGAATTCTGGAAATATCCCTTTCTGGGATGGCTTCAGGGATTCAAATCTTGAACATTTGCTGTCTATTGTTTTGCCCACCCCATTATTCCTTATTCTATGAATATTACAGAAAACTTGAAGATACTGAGATGCACTGAATTGAAAATGTAAAGAGTAACTCACTAACGATAGTCAAGAAATAAACCGAATAATGAGTACTCTCATTTTCATCCCACTTTTTGCCTGGTCCTTACTATAGTATCTCTTATACCAGCTTAATCACCTCCAATGACAGCAAGCTCAGTATCTCCTGAGGATGTCCTGGCATATTGGGAAACCCACAGTTGGCATATTCTTGGTCCAGTGTAACACTGACTGACTGTGAAAGAGAATGTCCTTTCTAAAGGGAGGCCTGGCTGCATGCACGCAGGGGGTGCTGGAGAGCTGAACCGGTCCAGTCCCCATCAGCCCAAGCAGGCAGTGGGAGAGAAGGCTGGGGATTCAGAGAGGCAGAGGGTGTGAGGCTACAGAGAGGCTGTGGCATTTCCACTCTTTTCCCCATAGCACTCGGGCGGGACTGAGTTCCAATGTGTATACACCCTGCAGCCAGGTGAGGTGCTGACAGCTGGGCCCATGCAGAGTTGGGGCCCATGCCGCACCAGTGACTGTGTGTTCTGAGTGATCGCCTTACTTGATTCCCTTTCAGCCTCCAGTCAGGTGGAGAGTTGCTCACAGAGAGTACAGTTGTCTGGTTGTATGTGAGGGGAGAGACTTTGTAATAGCCAGAAGTGACAGGAAAGCTACCCAGCTGCTCCAAATGCCTTCAAGAAGCAAGAGCTGACAGAGCACCAAAGGCAATGGTGAGGGGAACATGGACCTCTTTTTTTATTGTGGTCTACTGAGGCTGGCCTGTTGAACTCTATTACTGTGGTTGGATCCAGATAATTAAGAATAGAAAGTAGTATGTGGTAGGCATTGATATTTAAATGATGGGTAAAACCAGGTTTCATACAGCTTAGGCCCCCACACCCACGAAGCTGGCTCTACCAGATATTATAGGAGGACGGACTAAATATGAATCTTTTGGAATCATTACTAACAAATGTTTTTTGTTTAAAAAAAAATCCTTATTGTTGAAAGTATTACATATGCCCCTTTTTTTCTCCCACTGACCCCTTGTAGTCCACCCCTATCCTAGTGCTCATAGTATTTTCTTACAATCCTTGATATCAAGTGGTTTTCTTTTTTTGGATTTTCTTAATACTAGAATAGAAGATGTATAGAAAAATTTAAATGATAGAAAGTTCTGATTTCGTTATGTCAGGTTACTTGAAGTTTTGTTGGGACTTTGATTGAAGATGACAACCAGGTGTTTTCAAGATTTTACAATAAGATTTAGGCCAGATTTACTAAAATAGCTTCACAGGAACTTTGAAATATTGAAAATAATTTCTATGGAAAATATAATCTAAATGTAAAATTTTACTCAGATATTGCCTTTTAAGATAATCTATCATTTTTAGCAAGAGAGGTAGAAGTCTAACTCAGGCATGACATTTTCTTTCTGAGTTAATGGTGTAGGGCACAAATGGGTTTCCTCCTCTGCCTATTCAAGGAAAAGTCTTGTGATCTAAACAAGGAACAACGTGCTGTTGTATCCATGGTAAGGGGATTAACAGCCTTGTGCTTGTAAGACAGCATCCCAGCTCCTATTTAGTCCTTTTGATTTCCAGAAACAAGAGCCTGATTCTTAGACCCCTTGGATGCACTTGGCCCTGTCTGGCGCCATTGATGAGAAATGGCAATGGAGCCAATTCTTGGAGAATCACCTTCAGTCCAGGGCTCCCCACACTTGAGGAAAGGCAGTGACTTTTTTGTTTGTTTAACGCCTTAGACTTACTATTCTCCCTGGAAGCGCCATGCAGGAGGTATACTTAGTATTCGGTTGAAGAAGACCCTATGCAGCTAAAAGTATTGCCCTTTTTTTGGTAATATCAGTCTTGGGTAAATTATGGAAATAGTGCTTCCTAAGACACCAGTACAGTGGGGGGGGGGGCGGTATCCTAATAAATACTGGATAAAATTTAGTACACAACAGAACACATTTTTAAAATTTTGTGTAAATATTAAAAGCACCCTTATGCTGACAGATGCCATTATCTTGCATTTGAACACAGCTCTTCCTGATTTTCTAAGTACATGTGTATCTGTTATCTCTTTGTCCATGAAGCAAGTAAGAACTATTTTTAATCCATTGTCTTATTTTATTCTTGTAGATCATTTTAGTGTACCCAGGGAACTTTAAAAATAACTGCTTTGCTCCTGTATTTGTGTGTTTGTATTTAATTTGAAAAAAAGATATATTTACAAGAGAATTGCAGAGATAATGCAGAGAGATTCTGTATCCCAATAGTCCTCAACCTGAGGGTATTTTGTCCCTTCACTGCTCCTGAGTATATTTGGAAATGTCTGGAGGCATTTTGTTTTTCACAATTTGATATGTTCTTGCCATCTGGTGTGTAGAGCCTAGGCATGCTGCATAAATCCTTCAAAAGAATAGACAACTTCTCACAAGTAAGAATTAGCTGCCTAAAATGCACTGAGGGTCAGAATTTCTACTCTAGACCCATTTTCCTAATGTTATTATCTGTATATATAAAAGGCTAATATGCAGTGTCCCCTTAGGAGTTCGACTGGGAGACCGGGAGTTCAATCACTTGCTATGACATGTGCTGACCACCAGGGGGCGGCACGGAATGAAGGCCCCGGTCAGCAGCCGGGAGGCCCTAATAGGCCCTGATCACCGGCCAGGCCTAGGGACCCTACCCGTGCACTAATTTCGTGCACCAGGCCTCTAGTGTTAAATAACTATGATAAATATATCAAAATTAAGAAATTAACATTGGCTCTATGTTATTAAACTGTGGCATTTTTCAAATTTCCCTTTTTTAGACTAATGTCCTGTTTCTGTTCTAGAATCTATTCTTCTTTAGGCTGATTCAATCTAACAGTTTCTCCATCTTCCATTGTTTTTCATGACCTTGACATGTCTGAAGAGATTTACAAGTGTTTTTCACCTGGGTATAGTACTGATTCCAGCCATGTAGCATATCAAGGTTGCATATGGAAATGGTGTGTTGTTGGGTTATATCTATTATAGGAAATTGTTGTGGCATTTAGAAGGTGGGGATGAGAGATAACCAATGTGATACCCATGTCAGGACATCGCCACATAATGAGGAATTTCCTACTCAAAATGCCAGCAGTGTTCTCATTGACACACTAAGATCTCAAGCCCTTTCTAGTCATGTAGAGTGAAAAGCCTAGTCTCTAATCTAGCAAATAACAGGAAGTAATCCTCAAAAGAAAAGCGTCATTTATAGAGTTTTAGTCCAAGTCTTTTTGTATCTAACAGTAACTATCTTCGTTGAAAATGTTGGTTTTACTCTTTTCAGCATCATTTTAGTCTTTTGGGAATTTTTATTTCAAATGTTTTTACTTTATTTGCCAAAGTGCTGTATTAAAGCATGAGTTGGCACACCAAAGAAACACTGAATAAATAACTTGAATTCATAGTAAGAGACAGTGTGGTTTCATGGTGAGGAGGACACAGGGAAGAATTGATGGAGTATATGCATTCCTCTTCCTGTTTTATTTTTCTTACAGCATTTCTCCCACCTGGCAGTGTGTACATTTATTTACTTGGTTATCATCTGTCCCCACCCCTTTAGAAATCAAGCTCCAAGAGAGAATACAGCTATTTTCTGCCTCTAAAGACAAATACCACAAAATTCATGTTTGAGCAGTATTTAAAGAGATGTTAGGTGGGAAGAAAATCATAGGCAAGTGTTCAAATGACCACTTCCTTGGCTCCTGCTTCCTCTCTCATGCCAGCAGTATTACTTGGTGTTTGTTTAATTTATAAAAATGGCATGTGCTACATATAACATTACACCTCCCATCCTTTTCATTCAATAAATGTATTTTTGAGATTTATCCTTTTATTTATGAAAGTGTAGCTCTAGTTCAGTAGCTTTTCACTGGAGGTGATCTTTGTCTTTCAGGAGATATTTGGCAATGCCTGCTGACATTTTTGATTGTCACTAGCGGAGGTGGCCTAATGACAACTACTCGAGAGAGGCCAGGGTTGCTGCTAAACATCCTGCAATGCACAGCACAGCTACCCAACACAGAATTATCTGGCTCAATAGTCCAGATGCCCTGGGCTCTTTCTTTCCTTCAATCTGTGGACTCGCTTGATAGCACAGACCAGATTTACGTGATCCATTCCCCTACTGATGGACATTGAGGTTGTTCCAGTTCTCAGCTCTGAGAAAGAGTTTGACAGAGAACAGTCTCACTGATACAGTTCTCTCTTTCTCTCTCTCTCTGTAAGAGAACTGCTGGTAGCCACATTCTGTTCCAGGAAACACTTCCAGAATGGATGGACCCACAGACACCCCCTGCACTGCCTGGGATTCCAATTCTCTGCATCTTTACCAGCATTTGTTGCTATTGTACTTTTTAATTTTTAGCTACCTGAAGAGCTTAAATGAGTAGCTCATTAAAAAAAAAAACACTTTACACTGATTATTAATAAGGGCAAAACCATGAATAATTCACACACTACAGCATTCTACAAAATTAGGGAAAATAATTTTGCCAAGCATGCACTTTATTTTGTTCATCTCTCTGTATTTTGGACATGTTTTAACTCACACATTTTGGGAGAACAAGCTTAACAGTTTCTGCCAGTAGAGGTCACTGTCTCTCAGAGATTCTCCACTTGGGTCTCTCTCTCTCTCTCTCTCTCTCTCTCTCTCTCTCTCTCTCTCTCTCTCTCTCACACACACACACACACACACACACACACACACACACACACACACACACATACCCCTCCTTCCAAGCCTCTCCACCCCCACATCCTGGAATATTTGGCAATGACATTTTAACAATGTGGGTATGCTGCTGGCACCTAGAGGTTAGAGACCAGGGACTCTTCTGAAACCCTGCAATACAGAGGACAGCACCCAACAAGCAAGAAAGAATTGGCCCCAAATGTTAACAGTACCAAGCTGGAGTGGAAGAATCCTATTATATGAATCTTTGAAAGAAAGACTGTGACAATCTCCAAGATAATAACGATGCCTATACTTAATGTTTAAAATAAGAACAAACTTTTTAGTATGCAAACTGGACAAGCAGAGGTGAAAAATGCCTTCCTCATTAGTGTGTTCCTAGGAAAAGGCAGTAGGGGTGAGTGGGTGGGTGGGAGGTAGGCAAATGTTTGATTATTAGCAGTGATTCTATATGTGGGTGCTACCAGACAAGGAGAGGGGGTTCTGAGGCTTGGCAGACCTGCCAGCTGGGATGCTGGTGGGTGACTGGTAGTATCCTTGACTCATGCAGGGGCAGAGTAGCACTCATCAGGGTAAAAGAACTGTGGTTTTGAGTCTTAGGAGTTGGTGGTGGCAGGGCCTCAAATAATAAGACACCAGCATGACAGTTCTCTCACAGTCTCCAGCTGTGACTCTGTAACCTGTGCTGGTGATGTCCTTGCATCAGGGTGGATGACAGACAGGAACGGCAGGGTAGTGGTATTGTCCTCCTTTCGACCTGTTGCACCAGGAGCAGAGTCCCAGGCCTGGGCACAAGGGAAAGGATCACTCCGTTTCTCCATACGGGCTTGAAGGCAGACGGCCTGCACTCTAGGCTTGGCCTCCTTCTCTTGGTGTCAGGGTCTCAAACCAGAGATGTCTGTCAAATTTCCTCTTTCTTTTCTTGCATTGGCTGAGAGGCCTCAGTACTGTCTCCTTAGCACAGAGGTCAGGGTGCCCTTGGGTGGGTGGATACATGTATATGAATAGAGGGAAGCACATTTCCAATTTACGGTTGGAAAGCAGGTAACTGCAAAAACAGTGTTCAAAGGTTTATGGTAAACTGAACATAACACTTCAGTTTGGAGGTCTGTTATTGGTCCAGCCCCAATACTGGAGTGGGAGAGGGACAGAAATAGTGGCCATTAGAGCAACTATTGGATCAAGAGTGGGCAATGGATTTATCTGGATCCGAGAAGCTTCAGTGGTTCAGAGAGGCCCAGTGTTTGGAAGGCAGGGGTGCTGCCAGTTAACAGGTGATGGAAAGTGAGGTCCCTAAAGCTCTCTACTAAATAATTCTTCTTGATTTTATTTTTTTGATAGAGTCCTTATTTAAGGAATGGTCCTCAAGTATATGATTTTGAAAAAAAGAAATTTCCTATGTAATTTTATTCTTAATAATACCTCTCTTCATAATGGTAGAAATTACTTTTCGTTAATAGCTAAGACATCTCTTAAGATGGTAATAACACCAGAGTAGATGGTCCAATGAAATGTGGTATAATTTGCTTACAGTGTTTTTTTTTTCTTCCCATCATTTGCAGAATTTCCCATGTCTTACTTTGCAATATAACCCAGAGGGTGTCATTCTGGTTTGTGGTTACAGATCCTACGAAAAACTACACACTTCCTGCTGATGAGATACAGTCAGCCATAAGGTAATCACTGTGAAATATGCCTTCTACCAGGAAATCAGCCTGTTGATTAATTCAACTCTTTTCATAGGCATTAAAGAAAGTTATCTCTGCTTCACAATATTTATTTACTAAGATGTCAAGGATTTTATTTTGCTAGTTTGTATTAGAGATTATAGATCAGTGGTTCTCATTAAGGGGTACTTTTCCCTCGAAGAGACATTTGGCAATGCTTCCAGATATTTTTGCTGTCACAGCATGGGGCAGAGGGAAGTTTGCCACCAGGCAGAAGTTAGGGATGCTGCTAAACATCCTACTATGCCCAGGACAGTATCACGCAACAAAGAATTATTAGACCCCAAATGTCAATCATGCTGTGGTTGAGAGACCCTGGTTTAAATATTAGCTAAGAATATTTAGTACTGTCTTTTTTTCAAAAGCAAGAACACCTTGTACAGAACTATTGTGTGATGGTTCATCACATGGATTCTGGAGGCCATATGTTTAGGTTGTTAATTCTGGTTTTGCTTCTTGCTAATTATTTGAATATAGACAAATTACTTCTCCTCTTTTGCTTTCTTTTTTTCATTTATAAAACAAGAATAATATGATACCCCTAGCTCAGATTTCTTGGGTCTCTAAGAACTTACCTTCCTTAGTCAATGTTATAGTCTTTATCTTTAAAAGATACCTTTTAGATAACTACATACATAGTTATTATAATATTATTGACTATATTCCCTGTGCTGCACTTTAAGTCCCCATGACTATTTTGTGACTACCAATTTGTAAAAGATACCTTTTTTAGAAAAAGAGGTAAAATTAGGATTCATACAAATAAAAAATAAATTCTATCAAATACTTTATTATTTCATTCATTAATGAGGAAACTAGTAAAATATTAAAACTAGTTCAAAGGAGACTTCAAGGAAGCATGCATACATAGGAATCGAAGAATGGTGATATTCATTTAAAGAAAGATCACCAGTTTATTTATCAAGTAGTCATCAATCATGTTCCACCAGACACAATTCACTTGATTTTCTTTGGACAGGATCATTTACATTATGTTAGTTTTATATACAACTTACAGATTTGCAAAATAACTCATAAACAATAAAAGGCAGAAATTGTCCAGAAAGGTGTTCTTGTCAGATACTCAGTGATATTTTTTTGCCCATTTCAAGATTTACAGGTTTTCCTCACGGTTCCCCTCTTCCTCTCCTTGTGATCATAACAAACTTTGAAAAGGGAAATGTAGCCTTTATGTCATAGAAGCAGAAGGATGCAATTTGTTTTTATTTCAATTACTGTGCACACTTTATGTATCAAAACTTCAGGTCCCACGCATGATTAATGTTGGGCAAAGGTGTATTGGAAGAAACAAACTATAGGGTATCCCAAAAATGTACACACACTTTACCAGCTGATAGGTCAGTTGATGTTTCTTTCTTTTCAGATTTAACCCATTGGAATTAATTATTATGCAAAATGTGTATACATTTTTTGGGACACCCTGTATTTTGTGAAAAAGAAAAATGAAACAAAGTACAGAACTCTCTTTACTATAGATTTATAAGTTACTAAGGTTCACATTATTGTCTTTACCCAGGTGAAATACCTAGTGAAAGAACTCATTTGCTTTCTGTAAAATATTAACATTTAAGATAATGAGCACATGATCAAATGCCAAAGGTTTTGTGTGAACAATCATCTATTTCCCTTGCTGAAGCAAAGTTATTGATGCCAGGGGTGGGGAACCTTTTTTTCTGCCAAGGGCCATTTGGATATTTATAACATTATTTGTAGGCCATAGAAAATGTTCAACTTAAAAAATTAGCCTGCGGTATTTGGTCAAACATTTCATTAACTCACCACGAATGCTTTGGCAGGGCCAGACCAAATGATTTTGAGGGCCTTATTTGGCCTGCGGGCCAGACGTTCCCCACTCCTGATCTATACCAATGGGAAATGATTTAATCTGCTTTAAATGATGATTTGAACTAAATTGTTCCTACACTTTTGCTACTAAGAATACTGTTAAGACCCACCACTTAGGTAGTAAGATCTAGGAATATTGTATTTCACGTGAAAAGGGCTTTTATTCAAGCCCTGTGGTGTGGGAGGGCTACAAGGAAAATGAAGGCACTTGTGGTTAAACCAGGCCTCAGTTCATGTTAAGGAGGAAGTGTTTGGGGTGAAGGTAGATATGTAGATGAATATGTTCACAACAAAATGTTTGTTTCAAATAGCAGGAGAAAATATTCAGGGGGTGAGGATGGCTAATAGAATGGAAATTTATGTCAGGGAATGGATAGGGCTCAACAGGATTGTATGAAAATAAAGGAAACAATATCAAGAGCAAAGGATAGAGTGAAAAGAAGGATGTGGTACTTACAGTACAGGTAAGAGAAATTTCAAGTCTGAAGGATCTACATAGTTGGGCAAAATAATATTAGTTATACCTAATTTGCCCAACACTTTTTGGTTCACAGGCATGTTTTTATGCATCTGTGGCATTTAAGACCAATGCCAGTCATTTTTGAGTCATTATTCTTATTCCTCATTTATAAATGAGGAAATTGAGATTCAGGGAGATTAATTGATTTGCTAGAAAAATAAACAGTGAGACTTGAACCCAGGCATGCTGCCACCAAGTCCAGTGATTTTTTTCTCTCTACTGGAGTGTTTACACCTATAGAATCAGGTGAGGGAATGACTGACCAGTTCTAAGATGTCTGTTTTAGCTGTTTTGTGAGGGTCTGCCCATATTCAAGGCCAATCTTGGCTGAAAGATTCTTGTTGATTGATACCTATTGGGGATTTCAATGGTGGACTGAGATTTAGTCTGTACTGAACTGGAACTTCTAATCAGCCCGAAAGGTGATAGAATGGCAAAGTGTTAACCAACCAAATAGATAGGATGAGAATGCAGAGCAACTTTTCATTTTACTCTGACTTACACCTTAGTAGAGGAGTTCATTATTTTGTGGAAATATTTGTGTTCCTGGACTATCAATATTAGGTTGTAAAAAAAGAAAACATTCTACAGTTTGGTAAAAATCACATTGACATTATCTCCTGCTATAGATTATCTGGTTGGGATTATCTTTTATATTAATGAATAATCATGCCTCAGCATAGATTTTTATTTGCTAAAGGAGGTCTTTCCTGATAGCTTGGTGCGGATCTGCAGAGATTCTCAAGCCATTACTGTCAAGTTCAATACGGGCACTGTACAAGACAGTAGTCACCAGCCATATGTGGCTATTGAGCACTTGAAATGTAGCTAGTCCAAGGTTAGATATGCTCTAAGTGTAAAGACTACACTGAATTTCAAATACTTAATACAAAATAAGACGTGAACCAAGGCAATATTGATTATATGTTGAAATTATTTTTTCTTAGATGTATTGGGCAAAATATATTATTAAAATTAATTTTACTTGTTTGTTTTCACTTTTTTAAAAAATGCAGCTCCTAAAATTTTTTAAGTCACACATAAGACTCACATTGTATTTCTATTTTTCAGGGCTGCTCTAGAGGGAGATGAAGTCAGCTTGTCCAGTGTGAATTCAGTAAAGGTCATACCGTATCTCTAAGAAATCTCATCTAGTTTTCAAATTCCAGTTAGAAATTAACTTTTTTTGGTTTCAGTCAAAGAAGTCTTTATAACCAACCCTTCCCTAAGGCATGTTTCCATGCCTCCCTAACTGGTAACATCACCAAAAATGCAGATTTTTCCCCAGGAAAAGTAGCACATTTACCTTTATGATTTCTAGACTTTTGGACTCCTAAAGCACCATTTACTTGAGTCATATAGAACTACTTGCAGTTTACTGAGAAAATCATACTATTCCATATCTCCATTCCTGTACTCACTACACAATTTGGTCTAAAGAACTCCTACCTGTTCCTCAAAACACAGTTCAAAAGTTGCCTTCTCAGGAAAGCAGCCCTGACTTCTCATTATGATGTACTTAGCCCTCTGCTGGGCTCCCCAACTGTACCCATATTTGCCTTTTTCATAGAACATTTTTTGCACTGTGATTGTAGAGGGGCCGATCTGTCATGATTCTAGACTGTAGGGTCTTTAGTATTTTTATTTCACATTGTTTTTATAGCACCTAGCACAGTATTTGGTACTTAGTAAGGTTTCCACAAATGTTTGTTGAATTAATGGGGGGAAAAAGACCAAACTGATGGATTTGCAACTGCTCCTGGATTAATGTTTTCTTTTCTCTTCCTGATTTTCTTTTGTTGTCATGTTCATCATTCACTTGTTAACATATAATTTTATCTTTCGGGGCTGTTGGTATTTATGCAAATCACCTTAAATAGATTATTGTCATTTTAATCTAGATGCTACCTCTTAGGAAATAAAACATGGTGGGCAGAGCTCAAAGTTCAGGACTTCTGGTTACTTCTAGGACATTTGCAACAAGGGAGGGCAGTAGTGCATAGAAGAGCACAGCACTTATGAAAAGAATACCACAGCTGAATGCCCTCGTCAAACTGCCTAATCATGGAGAGATAGGTCTACATTTTCTGTTCCTAATTTTTTTCTGTCTTGTTTTGTTTGTTTTTATTGTCATTGTATTTTAGAATGAATAGGAACCGGATCAACAGTGCCTTTTCTTTGAATGACCAGACTCTGGAATTCTTAAAAATTCCTTCCACTCTTGCACCACCCACTGACCCATCTGTGCCCATCTGGATTATTATATTTGGTGTGGTATTTTGTATCGTCATAGTTGCAATCACGCTGTTGGTTTTATCAGGAATCCGGCAACGTAGAAGGTAAGATATTGGAAGGGAATGATTAAAGAGTGTTTTTCTATTTGCTCATGACTTGGAAAAATAAGGAGAGGGTTTGTCCCTAGCTGAAGATAATGCCTTATATCTGAAACTTTGAAAAAAAATGATGATTTAAAAAATATCACTTATGCTCTTGTTTTTAGAGGCTTTTTGGAGTCCAATGTCCCTTATTTAATTATGCTTCTTTCCATTACTATAATTCTCTCTATTCTACACCATATGAATGTTACATATCCAGAGTCAATTTTAAATCTACGTTATGATTTTATAAGCTAGATATACAGAGCTAAGCAGACTTTTTGGGTAGGCAGAGTTAGTCTTTGGTAGTCATCCACCTCCAAATGCTAGCAGTTCCACAGTTCTTTCCTCCCCACCTTGGCCTACCTCTTCTTGGCCCAGTGCCTGTAGCCGCCATCTTGTCCCAGATACTTTTTGGCTGTTTTATATTTCCCCCCTTTGATGATGCTCATCCCTCTAGTGCTTATGGTATGATATAGAACTGCGTTCCTCCAAGTGGCCTTTGAATAAACTCCCTGCATCAGACTCACCTGGAGCACTTGTTTCCTTGGCTTTATCACTGACCCACTAAATTAGAATCTCTGAATGGGATGCATTTTAATAAATATTCAGGTTACTTTAATTAATTTAGTTTGACAGCTTCCAATTTAGCACCTTATGAATAAATTTCTACTCCTTGAGTTTATTTACCTGGATTCTGGGACACTTGCAAATTTTGCTGTCTAAATGAATGATATTACTTCAAGAGAGAACTTCAGACTAGTGGTGGAGTTAGTAAGGTTGTGGGGCAGGTTGAGAAGAGACAGGATTTCTCAGTTTGATGAAAGGAGAAAACTTTGTTTACAAGTACCTCTGATACAGATGGGAAGTGGAGGGAGGCCTCAACTCTTCACTGGACCACTTGGGTGCTTCTAAACCTTTCTTTCTGATACCGAGAAAGGAAAATTCTGATAAGTGGGACATACATTGTTTTCAAAAGGGTTGATGCCCAGATAGGACATGTAAGATCTGTTTGGCCAAGTGTGTGTTCAACTCAATGTTTCTCCTGAGGTTTGCTACTTTCCATATGTTTCGCCTTAGTTACTAACACATGGGAATCATTTTAAATCATGGGCTTTATAATTTTTCACAAATGATAAGTGAAATGCTGTGGAATAAATGTGATTTATGTCTAGTCCCAAATTAAACTCAAAGATTGAGATCAAGTTGTGCTTGCTTGATTTTCTTGAACTTGGCATGATATGTGATACAAAGAGACTTGGTACAAGTTGTTTATTATTATTTTTTAGAATATTAAGAAATATTCTCTGTAATATTTGAATACCTACATTTAATACTTTACAGTTTTGCATTAATCCTAAAATGCTATAATTCTATGGATTCTATTGATTGTAACCTTTATGGATTGACTTTATCTCCTATATTTCCCAATATAGCATAGGAGTTTAAAAAATGGACTCTGGAGATAAACTGCTTAGATTCCAAGTATTTATCACCTGATTCTGCTCTTATATATAATCCATTAACTGTATGAATATCAGGAAGCACAGGCAATGAGTCAGAGAAATCAAGCTCAGGAGAATATAGTTTGTGGTGCTAGAATCATGTTGGTTAATTTTTTCCTCTGTGTGTAGATAACTTGTCTATAGCAACAGTGAGGTATACTAGAAATAATTAACTTGGTGGGGTAAAAAGAGTTAATGCAGTAAAGTGCTTAGAGTGGTGCCTGGCATACAGCGAGCGCTCAATAAGTGTTAGCTGTTACTATTATTTTATTATCCTGCCATTTGCTGGCCTTTCAGCTAGTTTATGCTGGGATCAGCTCTTTCCTTCTGAGTAGATTCTACAGTAATATAATAATTGGGTGTGTAGCATCATAATCTGTTGCCTGGGAGAAGTGAGGCTGTTGTCACAGCTTTGCCTCCACAAATTCATTTCATGTTCAAACTAGGAAAACAGATGGACAAATCTCTTTGTAAACCTGGAGAGCATCAATAATTAGCAAATATAGTCAGGACAATTATGACAACGTTCTGAAGATGAATTGATTAGTTGTGTTTTAAGTTTGCTATAATCTGGTGGGTTTCTCTTGTGCAGAGTATTATTTCAGAGTGGGAGAAGGTATAGTTTGAAGTGGAGAGAGCCCTAATACTTGTGATGAAAGCCTTTTCTAATCATGGAAAATATATGATCTGTCCCTTAAACCTTTAGTCTTGAGGGAGACAAGATGAACTGCATATACTTCACAATGATTTCTGTACTAGATCTATGTCTAGCCCCAGCCCAGATGTAGATGTTTTAGTTCTCTTGTCAGCCTTATGATGATGGTGATGATGATGATGGTGTTGGTAGTAATAATGGTGATAGTGATGGTGGATGATGATGTTGACAATGATGCTTATAATAGTGAGGGTGATGTGATAATGGTAATGGTGGTGATGTCGATGATGTGCTGTGTGTGTTTTAGTAGGAAGAGCACTGGATCAATACTATTGGTTTTAGGTTCGTCTCAGACCCTGGCATTTATTAGCTGAGTGACCTTTAGTATGTCACATATGGCAAATGAGAATATTTTTTACCTAGCTCCCTAATTGTTTCAGAAATTTTAGAGCTTAATAATTATGTTTTTTTCTTTGCTGTTCTTAAATGTACATACTCAATAGGAATCACATATGTGTTTTTAGTGAAGCCTGCGAGACTAAATAGAGTTCTAGGTTCACTGCTTTCACCAATCTTGTTGCATTCTGAAAGACAAGTTATTCTACATATTTGAATCTTAGCTCAAATATGAAAAGTAGGGACACCAATACACTGTTCATAATATTGCAATGGGAATTAAATGAAATGATGTGCGCAAAGCACTGGTTTCTGCCATGTAATAGATACTAATTATTATTATTATTGCTATCACATGGCAGATATAAAGCAATCTGCCTATAGATATATGGTTAGAAAGTACTGGTACCATTGTTTAAAACAAGGCAGGCTTGATCCCAAAGCCCACCAATCTCACTGTGCTGCAATGCCCACTGAAACTGTTCCAGCAACACGATTTTCCCCAGGAATCATCCATATTGATTATGAGTACAGCCCCAATTCCCCAATAATTTATTATATGTTTAAAAGTCATATTTGTCTATCTTTTGTTGTTTTCATGGCTATTCTTGGGCCTTGGCTCTTCAGCCCTGTCTTTTTGAAGGAAGACAGAAGTACTCTTTCGCCACCACTACTTTATCTTGAGCAATCCCTATTCATTAACACCCCCTAATTCTGAGGGACACACAATACTTCTTTTGTCCCCTCTTTTGTCCCTCTTCTCTCTAGATCTGTGGGAGATTATTCACTCTGAAGGCTCCTAGGGGCTAGTTTCAGGTATTTTAGTCACTCAAAAATATATATCTATATATTTGATTTCAGAGAGGAAGGAAGAGGGAGAAAGAGATAGAAACATCAGTGATGTATGAGAATCATTGATCAGCTGCCTCCTGCACACCTCACACTGTGGATCAAGCCCTCAACCCGGGCACGTGCCCTGACCAGGAGTCGAACCGTGACCTCCTGGTCCATAGGTCGACACTCAACCATTGAGCCATGCCAGCTGGGCCCGTCACTTTTTTTTTTATTCTCTTCCTGAACTACCTGACATTGCAGGAACAGCGGAAGTCATTTAACGCTTAGTTTTATTTTTCAGGGTTGTTTTTTTTTCAGAACAACAAATCGGAATGATTCAGAAAGATAGTTAAGTTTTATTATTCTTAGCACAGGCAGTGAATCAGTTTATTACAGTACGCACTATGAAACGTGACAAAATGCTGTATTACTACTGTAAGATCACCTTTGAACTGCTTATCACGTCCACCAGCCAGAATGTTACTGACACTGCAATTTGTGAAGCCCAGCAATGTCAAGACTCTGTATGACTGACTCTAAGGTCACAAAAGAACAATATGTACCTACTTTGCCACTGACACAGCTCAGTTTGCTAAATTTCCACAGCAGTTTCACTCAGCATCTCTTTGGGTTGAGAAATCCTTCTTCTAAAAAATAAAACTTGTCCTCATCTGTGTGCATCTTCCTTTTTAGTTCCTCCTCATTCCTTTGTAGTGACGGATGGATTATTTTTCCTTTGTGGTTGAGGAGCAGGAGGCAAGATTCCTTGCAGTGATCTGCCTGGGATCAGCTGTCTGCAATTTTTCTTCCAATTCCATAAAAACATTTTTAAAGTGAAGAAACTGGTAAATAAACACTGGCAACTGTTATTTCCAACACTGTGTTACATTGCCACCCACTTCAGACTGCTCTGTCCACTAAGATTTTTATAATATGGCTTTCATACTTAACACAGAAATTTTTAGGGTAAGATTGGACTGTTTAAAATCTCCTTATTATTATGGATATTATTATTCACTCCAAGCCCAATCGGGAGTGACTTGGGGGAAAATTGATTGAGCTAGGCATTTTTTAATGATAATTTATAAATATACATTTGTTTCCAGGGCTTCATCCCTACTGAAATATCACTCCTCTCTTTTATAATCCATAAAAAAATGGAGGGAGGGAGCATGAGTGAAATTTGGAGTTTTTCCGTTTTATTGAATCTTTTCTTTTCACTTTAGGACATGGACTGTGTCTCTTCCACCATATAGTAGGCACTTAAAACATAGTTACTCAATGAATGTTGGGTACTATAAATGAAATGATGGGATTGATCGTTACAGAATGTCAGTTTTGTTTTTTGCTTTCTGGAGGACGTGGAAAGTAACAATACTCCTGTCCAGAAGAGGAGGGGCCAAGGTATTCTAATCCTCTGGTAGGTGACATCATCTGGCAGGAGGACCTTCTCATCACATAAAACTATGCCTACCCCAACCTGTGTTGATCACTGATTGCTGGGGCCTGGAATAGCCATTGTAGTGCCTCACTCTGAGGATGGAGAAACACAGAAGCCTATCCTTTCCTAGGTCTCTGGGATTATAACCCCCAACTTTCAACCCAGCATTGGGTCTTATAGTGACACATTTGACAGAGGCATATAAAATGGCACAATACTTTCAAGTGATGACAGTGGGATCTACATTATTGGATGCTACTTTCATTACGAACTCCAGCTATTTGAAATTATCTAATAAACCATCAACAAAGCCTGGCAAAATCTATACTAACTCTTAATTCCTAAGGTAGGATAATGAATATTTTCCTCCATCCATTTGAAAAAATAACAATACAAGAGATACAGGAAATATCACGCGTGTATGTGTTCCTTCCCTTCCCTTCCCTCCCTCCCTCCCTCCCTCCCTCCCTCCCTCCCTCCCTCTCCTCCTCCTCCTCCTCCTCCTCCTCCTCCTTCTTCCTCCTCCTCCTCCTTCTCCTTCTGTCGTCATTGTTTCTTCTTCTTCTTCTTCTTCTTCTTCTTCTTCTTCTTCTTCTTCTTCTTCTTCTTCTTCTTCTTCTTCTTCTTCTTCTTCTCTCTTCTCTCTCTCTCTCTCTCTCTTCTCTCTCTCTCTCTCTCTCTCTCTCTCTCTCTCTCTCTCTCTCTCTCTTTCCTCTTTCTTTGCAGTGGATTCCATTCAAGATACACCTTCGGGTACTGTCTGAGTAACTTAGTCCATCCATCCATTAACTTTTTATCCAGCCAGTCACTCATTGATATACATTCATTGATCCATCCATTTACCCTCTGTATAACTAGGTAGCCAGCCACGTATGTGTCTGTTCATCCAATTCTAAGCCCACTCTGTGCTGAGTCCAGATCAGCTGTTTTACAACGTATCTTTACATTTATTTGGATTTTGATTTCTCTGATTACTTCCTCCTGAGAGATTAAGGGAAAAAATTGGTGATGGGGTGGGGCAGGGACACAGAATTACATATATACTATATAATTTTAGTATGTCACATCTGGAGGCACTTGTGAATATGTCTCATTTGTTGGTGATGTTCACCAAATTCCTCCTTTAACAAAATACAAATGTCTCTTTATAATTAGTACATTGCTTGTGGGGTGATATATTGAGACCATATAAATATCCTGTTCCTTAATTATTTCTCACACAGTGGTTTAGTATCCATTGATGAGCCTCATTAGAATAAATTATTATTATAGTGGTGATTTTCTGTTATTCCTTCTACATCAGCTACCATTCTTTCATAAACACAAGCTCTTTCTTTTCTCTCTCTCTTCCTACAACATATTCTTTAAAGCATATTGGAGTAGACTTTCATATAGGACTAATAGGAAACCCTACCTCAGTCATCACTGGGGTATCTTCACCACCTCCTCACCTTCCAGAGTTACTAAGGTTCTAAGGCACTTCCATAGTGGTGGGAGTCTGTCCCAGTCACCACAGCAATGCCTATCATCCCAGACATGTGATCATTCAGGTCTGCCTCTTTGGAGTTTCCTTAGATTCCTGGGACAATAGAATAATTGGTAAGTCTGGGAGCTTTGTGCTTAACATCATGCCTCCACTGTGCCCCAACACTTAACTTGCGATAAGCCTCAGGGAAACTCTTCCTCTCTGTGATTGCCTAGAGCGGTGGTCGGCAAACTGCGGCTCGCGAGCCACATGTGGCTCTTTGGCCCCTTGAGTGTGGCCACGAAGTTTCAATCGCACTGTACGTGTGCGTCCGCACGTGGTATTTTGTGGAAGAGCCACACTCAAGGGGCCGCAGTTTGCCGACCACTGGCCTAGAGGTACCCACCTCTCCATTTTGCTCCTTACCTCTATGATACCAAGCATAATTGGCTCAACTGTTTTTGGTCTTTCACAAAAGACAGGAAGAACTTTGAATTAAAGGCTACAGCTTTCCACACTCCAAAGAAATATTAAGGGCCTATTTACCACTTGGGTGGGGTAGCAGTGTCTACAAAGGATCTGAGAATGAAAACTCAGAATTTATCCTGTCGTGTAGTATTTTTGAAATGACCTGGAATTATAGCTACAAGTTGTAATATAATCAGTAAAATGTGTTTTGAGTTCCAGAAACTTGGCTTAAAAATAAATACAACTGTTTTGTAATAAGTAGAGCCAAGCAATGATACCTACAATATATAATGTTTACTTCCTTGCTCTAAAGTAATGTGAGTTTGCTTCTTCATATGTCATTTCAATTTGATTTTCACTCAACATTTGCAGACCATTAATTTGTCAAATTCTATGAGAGGAATTTATTACTTTTTTTAAATTCAATTTTTGTTAAGTTCTCCTAGAGCAGTGGTTCTCAACCTTCTGGCCCTTTAAATACAGTTCCTCATGTTGTGACCCAACCATAAAATTATTTTCGTTGCTACTTCATAACTGTAATGTTGCTACTGTTATGAATCGTAATGTAAATATCTGATATGCAGGATGGTCTTAGGTGACCCCTGTGAGAGGGTCGTTCGACCACCAAAGGGGTCTCGACCCACAGGTTGAGAACCGCTGTCCTAGAGCCAAATTTTTTAACTTACCAATTTACCATACATTTCCTCCATATGCCTTCATTCAATTTGTGTGTTAATGTAATGTATATATGTATGTATGCAAACATATTCATTTATATAAATATACATATGCATTTGTATATATGTATTCTAAGTAAGATCATTCATTTTGATCAATATGTATATGTCATCCATGCAGACTTCTTATCTTGATAGCATCTTTTCACCACATCAGCTCTTTATGATCTTTGAAGCTTATTTGAAAACTAGGGGCCCAGTGCACAAATTCATGCACCTTGAAAGGAACTGTGGGCTGTGAGGCTGCGGTGGGCATAGGGGCTGGTCTCGGCCCATCCTCCAAGCCCCTGCCCGGCTCCTCCCACTGTGGCCCCAGGTCCCCGGTCTGCCAGCAGCCTTGCTCCTGCTGCCACTGCTCCCACACACTGATAGAGTAGGCCCCACTCGCACCTGCTGATGGCGTGGAGTGATTGGGGCTGGTGCTGGCAGTGGGTGTGAGTGGGGCTGGTGCCATCAGCAGGTGTGAGCAGCTGCTGCTGCCCTGATCACCCCTCAGGAGCAGGGGGAGATGGAGAAGCCCTTAGGGGCAGTTGGGGATGGCAGCTACTGCTCACACCCACTGACGGCGCCAAGCGATAGGGACCAGTGCCGGGCACCAGCAGTGGGTGCGAGCGGTGGCTCTGGTGCTGGCAGCAGGTGTGAGTGGGGCCAGCATCAGCTGCAGGTGCAAGCGCTGGGCAGGTCTGTGGTGCACAGGAGCAAAGAATTTTCAGAAACCATCAGAGGTTTGCCCTGATGACAGCGACTGGTGCCCTGCCTTGGTATGGTGCCCCTGCTCACCTGCTCCACCATCCCTCTGCAGCTGACACCCGCCATGTTCTGTGTGCACCTCCTGGTGGTCAGCACACGTCATAGCAACCAATTGTTCGGTTTTTACACCTTTTGGTCTATTTGTGTATTAGGGTTTTATATATATAGATAAATAGCATCAATTTTTCATCATTCTAAGTTTCCTCTTTCCTTTCCTGCTTTCCCTATTTGTGTAGAAGACCATGATTTCTCCTGGATCCCAATAATTCTTTTTATGTGCATTTAGGAAGAACAAAGAACCATCTGAAGTGGATGACACTGAAGATAAGAGTGAAAACACGATCACTATTGAAAATGGCATCCCCTGTGACCCCCTGGATACGAAGGGATGGCACATTAATGACACTTTCATGACAGAGGATGAGCGGCTCACCCCTCTTTGAAGGGCTGCTGTTCTGCTTCCCAAGAAACTCACACATGTTTCTGTGCAACTGTTGAGCACCATAAATTATTAAGGGCAGATTACATATTTTGTTTCACCATTCTTCTTTGTAAGAAAATTTGAATGTGCATGAAAGTGAATCAGTAATACCTGTGAAGACCATTGGAATCATAAGCTGTTGACTACTCCAAATATTTTAAAGTATTTCCCTGACAACACAGTGTGTAAGTGTAGTCATTTGGTGTTTGTGATTATTGATTTAAAAGTCCATCAGTATTTAAGCATTTTCAAAAATAAGGACTATATATATTTTACACTCTGGAGACCTAAGGAAAAATATTTTTCCAATGGAGAATCCCTATAATAATTATGAATATTATTTATATCATTCTGTATATGACTAAGTAAGCAAGGATAAAAGTAATTATTGTACATGGGATGGATAAAAATGGAAGTATTGATAAACAAGGTAGAATTTGATCCTATTATAACTATTGCTTATGTATTTTCTGTCAATCTCTACTAGTGCAGCTCTATTTGTTGACTTTTTCTGCAATCTGTAAAAGTACAATCTATAATAAATAAAGTGCTAATTATTTTTTTTGATTATGTGACTGTGGTCTGAGGTTTATTTTGACACTGTGAAACATAGTAAGCCTAATTTTTATTAGTTATATTTAATCTGTTCTACAGATATAGAAAAGAATTATTTTTGTTGTATGTATCCTTCCTTGAAGACATCTTGTAATTTTTAGAATTGGTTTTCCTTTCAGATAGGCCATGTGTCATTCTAAATGCTAATAATATACATTTATTAATAGAAAGAGAATTTGGTGCTCAGTCTCCTACTGCTATCCCCATAGTTGATGTTACAGCAACAGTTTCTAGCTCACTTCCCTGCCTCCAATACTGCTCCCTGGGTATCGACTCTAAAATGGATGCTTGCATGAAGGTTTATTGAGGTCTGCTCTCAGGACATACACCTGTAAGAAGTGAGGAAGGTGAGAGTGTGGCAGACAGACTTTAAGATACCTGCCATCTCCTGATGTTTACACCTCCATGCAACCTGCACTCCTTGAGTGAGGATGGGACCTGTGGCTTGCTTCTAATGAATAGAATACAGCAAAGGTGATGAGCCATCACTCCTGCAATTACTTTATATTATGTCTAAGCAGACTTGTTCTAGAGCAGTGGTTCTCAACCTTTCTAATGCCGCAACCCTTTAATACAGTTCCTCCTGTCGTGGTGACCCCCAATTTCATTGTTACAAATTGAACATAATTAAAGCATAGTGATTAATCACAAAAACAATATGTAATTATATATGTGTTTTCCGATGGTCTTAGGTGAACCCTGTGAAAGGGTCATTCGACCCCCAAAGGGGTTGCGACCCACAGGTTGAGAACCACTGTTCTAGAGACTCGCCTTGATGGCTTAAGTAAGTGGCTGTTAGGAAGCCCACATGAAAGAAACTAAGCAGCCTCTAGGAATTGCTGGTGGCCTGCTGGCACTGAAGGCAGCCTCCAATCAATCAACAGCCCTAGCAAGAAGCTGGCGTCCTCAGTCCTACAAACACAAGGAAATTGATTCTGTCAACACCTAGACTCAAGTCTCTAGATAAGAATACAGTCTGGCCAACACTTGGCAACCTGAACAGAGGATCCAGTTACGCTGTGCCCAGACTCCTGACCCATGGGCATTGTGAGATGATAAATGTGTGTTTTTAAAGGTACCAAGTTTGAGGTAATGTGTTATGCAGCAATAGGAAACTAATAAAGTAGGATTAGGTAGAGCAAGAAGTGACCAGCAACATGGTTACAGCAGAGGCCTCAGTCGATCCTTCAGGGAGGTTAGGAGCTGAGATTGTCCCTGATTGAGTGAGATAAGATGGATGGGCCTTTGTATCTCATTAGCCAGTTATGGCCATGGGTGCTGTCGGAGAGGGTCTGCCCTTGGCTCCCTGTGGCTGGGGACAATTCCCATTGAAGGACTCAGTTGTGAGACTTTTAAAAGACAATATTTTCAGAAGCTGAGGATATATGTACATGGGCCCTGAAGAGAAGGCCTGTGGACCCCCAGAATGTCCACCACACCCTTTCCAGTCCATTGGCTACAGTATAGCTTGAATGAATATCCAACATGCAAACCTACTCCTGTTGGTTCCTAACATAGAAGCTTTTATTTTTATTTATTTTTAAAAATATATATATTGGAGGTGACATTGGTTGATAATGATATCATATAATTTTCAGTTGTATATCTTATAATTTAACATCTGTAGACTCTATTGTATGCTCACTAAATGGCATCTTATTTTCTTTAGGATAAAGCCAGACTTCTTAACACTGGGCCAACTGTAGTTTTACCTTCACTTTCCTCTCTAACTTCATCTCTCACCCCTTCTTTTTCTATCTCTTTGCCTTTCTTTCATCAATCATAATAGTTCCCTCAACGTCTAGGTCTTTGAACAAGCTGTTCCCTCTACCTAGAACACTCTTCTGTATCTCTCAGCTACTCTTCCAGCTTATCCTTAGGGTCTATTTCACTTAAACATCTTGCCTTCCTGGAGGTCTTTGCTGGACCTCCTGGCTTTGTGCTGGTAGAATGCTCAGAGAGTTATGCTCATCTTGTACGTTATATTTAAGTGTATTTTATGGAAGAAGGAGACCACAAATCAAGAATGCCCTAGGGCCCCCCAAAACCCTAATATAGCCTGTCTCTCTAAACATTTTCATAACCCACTTTAGTTTGCTCCCACCTCTAATTTGATAGAACTAATTACTGGGTTGTAACCTCACCATATTGATATAAATTTTCAATTGAAATGATTATGATATTTCGTTTTATTTATTTGTTTACATATCTATCTTCACCCTAAATATAATATTCTTAGAAGCAGTTTTCAAATCAGTTAGCATACTGCCTTGTCTTCTTTCCTTCCCTTCCTTTCTCCCTTTTTTCTTTCATTTATTCTGCAATGGTGAGCAAAACTGAACACAGACCCTGCCCTCATAGAGCTAAAAGTCTGCATAGTCAGAGCTCAATAAATGTGTGCTTATAAACAAGCACATGGAATTGTAGCTGTTGCAAGCTCATAGTCTCATCTCTTCTGAGAGCAAAGGCAGAATTTGTGGGTGCAAGGTTTTTGACTTGGACACCATTTTACTTGGGAACCATATGCTCTTTAATATTATTAGAGGTTCCTTACTTTTAGGAGAGGAATGAGTTTTGATCTCTCAGTTGGCAACATATGATTTACTAAAGAACCATTTTCTATCTTACATCCTCTTGAGTTGTATACACCAGAATAGGGTATCTTTGCATATAGAACTGATGAAACATCTTCTGAATTAATCAATGCTTGTAATTGAGGTAACTAGATATGTGACACATGTAATCAGTGTAATTACTAGCAAGCATAATCCAAGACATGTATTGTCATGAGGATGGAAATTGTTCTTGGTAGGGAGAAAAGAGTTTAGATATTACAGTGGTTTATATTCCTCCAAAGGGCAACAGTACATAAACAGATACAAAGTATATCTATGGCATTAAAATTTCATGGGTAAGCTATCAGGAAAATATGTCTAAAATGTCTCAATAATTGGAAAAATGGTTGAGAAACACTGATTCTAGATAGGCTTCTTATTTTTAAGGTATAGATAAACCAATTCGATCACTAAATCATTTTCTTCACTGTCTATTTATTCTGATGCTGAGGGGGATTTATTCCAGTTGCAAAGGTCTGTTCCACTAAATATACTTGTTGGGTAAGTCTTCTATGCTAGCAGAGATGTGCTGTAAACCTGACAGTCAATATAATAGCAAAATGGAGCTTATGTGTCCTGCCTAATGCCTTTGACAAACACTCTGGGTAATTAGAGTAGCAATCATCAACTACACCTTCCATTTTTAATGTAATGATCCTGCTATGTGCCACAAGGGAACACATTTCGAGGTGATATGTACTGGAAATAAAATGTTGTAAAGCGATTGGAAATATCACTGTCATTCAAGTCCCCAAGTCCTTAACAAAAACTACAATGAAACTGGAAAGATAGAAGTGTGTGAAAACCAAGTCACTACAGAAAAAATTAGCTGGTATTGTGATATCTGGACTTGTTTCATAGAAGCACTGTAGATACAAAACTTTTTGGGGGAGGTGTAGTCTTCTCTTCCACATTTTTCATCAGGACTTACCAATACAAAATATCACTATATAAAATAATGCAGTGAGTTCTTGAATTTAGATGATACATGATCAGATTTCAAATGTGAATATCACCAAGTGAAATATGCATATTTATGATTATTGGATAAGGAACAAGGAATAGGAGAGAACACAGGTTAAGAACCAAAAGTAGTAAAACATTTTCTTTCTTTTTTTTTTTTTACTTTTAATTGATTTCAGAGAGGAAGGGAGAGGGAGAGAGAGATAGAAACATCAAAGATGAGAGAGAATCATTGATCAGCTGCCTCCTGCATGGACCAAGCCCGCAATCCCAGCATGTGCCCCTGACCAGAATAGAACCCAGGACCCTTCAATCTGCAGGCCAATGCTCTATCCACTGAGCCAAACCAGCTTGGGCAGTAAAACATTTCTTAGAGTTCAAATACCCAGTCCTTATTTCACATTCATGGGGCCTCTTAACATAGTATTTTGTTTACCATTTTACATCTTGTTTTCCTTCATTAAAATGTCACATATCTAGTTACCTCAATTACATAAAAAAATGTAAGTTTTCTTCTTCCCTACTATTCTTTTTTTTGTCCTTTCCTTCCTTCTTTCCTTCTTTCCTGCCTCAAGAATTTACTGAAATGTCCACTCTATGTAAGATATCATGTAAGGATCAGAAAACATAAACAGAGAATGTCCTGGAAAGGGCTCATTCATTATTTATGACAAAATTAAGTTTATTACTAAGAATACCATTCTCATTTGGGAATTTTGGCTTGACTGGATGAATGAACAAATGAATGAGTGAATAATTTCCAGTTGTTATTTTTGAATTATTGTGCTCTTTATTTTCATAGCATTGTTTAAAAAATAATTTTTATCAGTTATGGGTGCAGAATAAGAGCCAATTTATAAAGCATAGTATTAGTTTCCTCTTTAGTCTAACACAGTGGTCATAGTATTAGGGTAGCAGTAGTAGTAATAGTAGTAGTAGTAGTAGTTGGTGTAAATCTCTATGGTGTTACTGGGCAGTAAAGGAGTTTGGCCAGTAAAGAAATGACAACTGTGTCTCTCCATGTCATTTTTCCATAGTTATTCCTTGATGGTGCTTATATTTTTTGAAGACTAGTGAACAGCCTATAAAATAAAACCCTAGTATGCAAATTGACTGAACAGCAGAAGGACCAGCCGCTATGAGGCATACTGACCACCAGGGGGCAGACGCTCAATGCAGGAGCTGCCCCCTGGTGGTCAGTGCGCTCCCACGGGGGAGCACCGCTCAGCCAGAAGCCGGGCTCATGGCTGGTGAGCACAGTGGCAGTGGCGGGAGCCTCTCCTGCCTCCACAGCAGTGCTAAGGACCCCTCGGGGGATATCTGACTGCTGGCTTAGGGGAGCGGGCCTAAGCCGGCAGGTGGACATACCCTGAGGAG